TGTAGCAGAATAGGAAGAAAAGTAGTTCATAAGTTTCATATGTAAATCTTATTATATATGTGTCTCTCCTTCCTGTCCAAACGGTTAAAGGAATTGAGATAAAATTTTAACTCGTCGAGTACCGTATTTATAGACACAATTAAAGAACAATAGGTTGCGGTCACCGGTGACCGCTTGGTGTTTGACAGTTTAAACAGGGTTAGATCATGGTCTGGAATAACACACAAGCCACTTTTTATCCCACGGCAATGCAGGTGAAGCCGGGTGTAAAAACTAGTAAAATCAATATTTGAATCTCAATGTACGTGTAACCAATAAGACCGTGCTAACAACGCAACATTCATGTCGAATGTCAATAAATTAAACGATTAATTACAATACTAATGTAATTAGGCGTCAAATTAATTTTAACTCTAATTATACGAATGGTAATGTAATGTTCGTAATAAATTGCTTTATCACTTTGTAAGGGCTCGTACACAAAACTGCAATGCGACGTCGCATCGCAAAAATGTGCGAGCTCCCGCTACGCATCGCAAGAACTTGCGAATTGATTCGCATCGCGCATCAAAATCTTATCTTCCCAGAATATTCTTTGTTTCTTTTTCCTGTATCTCCTAAGCAATAACAAAAGTGGACACTTCTGTTTACGATCCATGCCACGACCTAGTTTTCAATTTAAAATACGTTTAGTACGGTTGACGGTCGTCGAAGAAATGGTCACCCTGGGAGACGCCTTGTCGCACGAAATCGCATCGCAGCAATTCGTGTCGTAATTTTCTGCGTTGCGAATTCGCATTGCATTGCGAGTTTTGTATACGAGCCCTAACACTGAGTTGTTATGGTCGTTCATTATTCAACTACTACCTACGACCGCGCGGTTTCACCCGCTGCTCGGCTATTATTAGTAATAGCGTGATGTTTTATGCATACATACATTACCTCACGCCTGTCTTCCATGGCGGTAGGCAGAGACTATGAAACGCCAATAGTTACGATTCTACCATACCTTTGTCGCTTCCTCAACAGTCATCAGTTTTTTCATGCATGCTCGTCAGTTAAGGAATACGAAATTTGTATTTACAAAATATTTTTGTACAATTCACAAACCTCAAGTGCCAACCCTAACAAGAAGAAAATGATTGTTGCAAATGCGAATCGCGGAGGCGCTAACGTCGACTATTGTGTGGAATTAACGCCTAAATTGAAAGGGAAACGCCATTACGTTTGCTACTAATCGCATCTTTTGTGTGATGGGAAATTAGACCTTGTTTACTTATACCGTTAGTAGGTGTCGAGTTACTTAACGAATTTATAAGGAAGATTTATTTTGTGCGTGTTTGAGTAAACAATGGTAGGATTGGCAAATATCTTGATGGAAATGGATTGACGGGTAAATTAGTAGGAGTGGTTAATTTAATCATTGGGTAATTCAATCAGTTTGATTTTCCGGGTCAGGGAAATAAATACCGTGATGTGAGAATTTCTTTTCACGATGTTGCTGCACATGCGTACTCCGCACTGTGCTAGTATTTCAGTTGTACTCCATGTTATGGCTTGTTTGCACTATGCTAATATTTTAGTCGAGCAGCGAGTGTTTAGTATATCCCTCTCGCTTCTGTCCCAAAATCGAAGCGAGAGAGAGGTGCCATAAACTTGCTACTCGACTAAAATACTAGCGCAGTGCGAACAAGGCTTATGGCTGAACACCAAAATTTTAGTCCAGTAGTTTAGTGAAGTGCGAACAACTATGAGATTGTAGCGTGAGAAAGCTACTAAATTACTCGTTAGTCGTCTAAAATACTGGCGTAGTACGAACAAGGCATTGCATACGTTAGAGTTTTTAGTATTGCGTTACGTAATAATTATAATATCCTCTTGTATATATGACGAATCTGATTGATTTATTTAAATCAGCACTACTTGGTTTATCCAATTGAAGACGGCATGATTGGTGCGATGGCTAGACAACCGGCTGCCGTGTCACGGGTTCGATTCCCGCACGGAGCAACTCTCTGTGTAATCCACAAATTGTTGTTTCATAGTAATACTTTGCCCGACCCGTGAATCTTACCCGAGATCCCTTGCCCGGCAGTCACCTACGACCCCTCGAACAACGTGGGAGAAAAATAAGAGTAACTCACGTAAATATACTGAGAAAAGCTCTACTAATTTCGAGTCACAGAGGGGCTCTTCTTCATGAGCAGCGTGTGCGGTCGCAGTCGCGCACTTGTAAAGCTTAATAATCTCTCTTTTCAATCTACTCTCTATATATTTACGAGAGTAACTCGTAATTTTTAGTTAATTCAGCATATCTCACAATATTTATTATAAAAACATATTTATTTTACCCGACGCACCAATCGAACTCAAGATTCTTAGCTCAAAAATCGACCAAGGGGACAGTATTAACATGTTTTAAAAGAAAAACATGTAGGGGTAAACAATACCCGAAACTTTTTTCCATTATAACCCTAAAAAACCAAATGAAAGTGATAATGAGGCCATGATACTAAATAATTAATTAAGTGTGACAAGGACGAAAATTAAAACAAGCGTCTAGGAATTTATTACGTGTGTATAATGTGTACGATACTCGTGCCGAATATATGAACCATATACGGTTTATAGTATTGTAGTACGGTTTATGGAGATGATGGTTATGAAATTGTTTGTAGTTTTACAAATTATTTATTTATTTATTTAGAAAATTTACACATAACATAACATCACGCCTTTTATCCCCGAAGGGGTAGGCAGAGGTGCACATTATACCACTGTACAATGTAACACCCACTTTTCACTATTTATGTATGTTATGAGTCCCATGTAATAGGGGGTGAGTCTATTGCCATATACCGGGCACAATTCCTGTGCTACTACTGAGAATTTTTTTAAAACCCAGTAATACTTTGCCCGACCCGGGAATCGAACCCGAGACCCCCTGCCCGGCAGTTGCACTTGCGACCACTTGGCCATCGAGGCAGTAGAAAATTTACATATACACCACTACAGCTTACGCCATTAAGTTAAACTGTTAATCTTGTATAAATACTATTATTTAGGTACTTAAACTGTCAAACACCAAGCGGTCACCGGTGACCGCAACCTATTGTTCTTTAATTGTGTCTATAAATTAAAGAGATCGACGAGTTAAAAACAAACTAATAGGTAATTAAATATAAGAAATAAAAATTAGTACAATATTTTTTTTATGGCATAAGCCGGTAAACGAGCACACGGATCACCTGATTGTAAGCAATCGGCGTCGCCCATGGATACCTGGAACACCAAAGGCATTACAAGTGCGATACTGGCCTTTTAGGGATTAGGCGTTTAAGGGTCCTTGGGGATTCAGGAATTGGGGAGATTGGGGAAGGGGAAGGTAATTGGGCTTCCGGTAACCTCACTCACACGACGAAACACAAACAAGCGTTGCTTCACGTCGGTTTTCTGTGAGGCTGTGGTATCACTCCGGCCCATTCGTAAAAGCTCTCCCACACTGAAAAAATAATAAAGTATGAATAAAATTATTGTCACTATATAACTTTATGACTATTTTTAGTCAAATATAATAAACGTCTTTTATTCACTGATAGAGGTAGAGGTGAACTTATTACACTTAGTTTAAACCGATTTCATTGGCATACGCCCGAATCATCATCATCATCATCAACAGCCTATAAATGCCCACTGCTGAGCAAAACCTCTTCTCACACGGAGAAGGTTTGAGCATCCGAATCATCATCATTAGCCTGTATTCGTCCACTGCTGGACATAGGCCTCTCCTATGGCGTGCCATAGGAGAGGAGCATCCGAATACTGAATGTCAGCTCAATTTTAAGTTGTAGGTACTTAAATATCGTGCCATCACTATCATTTTACAAAGAATTTGTAGTGACAGAATTACAGTTAAGCGCCACTTAACTTTGAGTAGCGTTTCAGTATTAGGGTAATATACATGTATATTTCTACCACGATATAAATAAAGAGTAAGATAGGAGTCGTAGAAAATTGAACGAATTTTTTGAACTCTAGCTTATATGCATTGAATGTGAAAATCTTAATTTACTCAATCTGACAATAATTAACTTCTGACTCCTTATTCGGGAGCCATACTGACAATTACGTAGCTAAAGTAGTAGTACCTTAAAAAAAAACTAAAAATACACAATTTTCAACCAAACTCATTGTAAAAATATACCCCACAAAATTGACCATTCTCGGCCAGAAACCACAAACGAGTCTGGCGCAATCTGTTCAAATATTAAAGCGGCAATATGCCCCCCATTCCCCACTGAGCCTGCAGAATCCCTTTAATAACTAAATCCATTGGTTCTCAAACCTCCAAAATTAATTTATCATACCTAAATCTAGTCATAATACAATATTCATGAACTTCACACCTTGGGTAAGGTAATTATCAAGTTTTACGGCTTTCAAAAGTCTAGATTGGATCTTTGGAAAGCGAGGAGCACTTAAGATTTTAGGGGTGCATTTGGTTTTTGAAAAGGGACCCTTTAATTTGAAAGGGTTAGGGTATTTTTTTAGTGCTCTAGTATAGCTAGACATATTTTTAGTTGAATCGCTTTTTTTAAGAGCATAATCAATCATCGTTACCTTTTTTTGCAAATAGCCAACTTTATTTATTTTGGTTACCGAATAATTGTTTACACTATATACGTTACTTATTAAATATCTAAAGGAACATTTATAAGTGCAACAATTAATTATAGGTTAACACCACACGCAAAAAATAGGTAAACAACAAGTAGATAATACCTATAGAAAAATAACAAGTTTATTTTAGTAATTATAAAAAATTATATTTCTTCGCCGTTTTTCTTAACAACTTTCTCTTTATTTTTATGATTATTGTAATTACTTCATACGCAGTATTATAGACTAGATAAGATGTCTGGCAATGTCAACTAGGCAGACATTCAACCAATTAAACTCATCAATCGCAATATCTCTAAAATTTTTTTCTTTGTTTACAGGAAGACATGGTGTGCCTGTCATGCACGGCGACTGGCGAGAGAGTGTGTTTGGCGGCCGAGGGGTTCGGTAACCGACACTGTTTCCTCGAGAACATCGCCGATAAGAACATACCGCCAGACCTATCACAATGTGTGTTTGTAATCGAACAGGTAAGATTTTGATTGATAACTTTACAAAAAAAAAAACAATGTTGTAAGGAAGCTTTCTAGTGATTTAATCTTACTCAATTCAGTTTTTTTTTTAATATTATATCTCTAATCTGCAATAAACAATCAGATTTATCGAAGAAAAATAGTTTTTCGTTGACATGCAAGCAGAGAGCTACATAATATAATTAATTTAAGAGTAAATCTGGTTTTCACTAGTCAAAAAATTTTGAAATTGAAAAGCCTAGCATCAGTTAGGTAGTTGACTTTTCGTCGCCAAAGTGAAAAATGCTCATGAAACCCTTTCGCCTCGAATATCATGCTCAAAAGTCATATCATTAACATCAATGAGGCAGTCTCAAGAAATTGTTACTGAAACATTTATCATCACTTTCTTTTACTTCCAGGCTTTATCAGTAAGAGCTTTGCAAGAGTTGGTGACGGCTGCAGGGTCTGAAACTGTAAGTATCATACAGAATTTTAATTTAAATGTACATCAAGTATCTCATAATTATATGTACCTGTAAAATTAACATTTTGAAAACCTTTCCGAAGTATAATAATGCCACCCTATGAATAATTTTCAATTATTTACTTTTTTGACTAAACTACACTTTAAAATATGTTCTAATATGGTTTGGTTTCACCATTTTACCTATTTTTACAAGGTTCTAATTACTTGTTTATTTTTATACGTTTTTCTATATTTAATTTTATTAAAATGTAAATGATGTTCGGTATTTGAATTTATTGAATCTGTCAGAGTTCACAGTCGCCTGTTTTTTTATTTGTTTTTTTTATAATAATGTTGAAGTGGTGAAATTAATTCCTAAAGTCCTGTAAAGATTTCAAATGGCAAATCTTTTGTATGATTTTGTACACTCCATATTATATCTATAATGTCGTGTTTAACAATATTTTGATTATTTTTGTCCTATTGTGAATAATTTCGTTTATGTATTGCGATCCTTTTGTTTAAATTTTTCCAGGGAAAAGAAAACTTAGTGAGTATATCTGCCTCTCGGTAAAAATTGCATGCTATATCATTTTACATTTTTGGCTAATTGGTTAAAAAATATGGCTACATTTGAACTTTTTTTTTCAAATTTTTTCTGACAAAATTTTTTCGCCTAACCATTTTTTTAATACGTGGTTTAACTGTCAAAATTCATTTATGTGGTCGCTAATAAAACTTACTAATTTATTTGTTAGTTTTCGAGAATCATACCATCTGCAATTTTACAGTGATGATTTTTATTAAATTAATTTGGAATTGAGAACAAAAATATAGAAAAAAAATACTGTAAATAATGTAAAAAATCCTTGTAACCTTGAAAACCCTTTTCGATCCATTTGACTTATCCCTTATTATTACGACTAAAAGCAAAAAAAAATAAGTTTTATTTTTCGAGAATGACCTAGGTTTGTAAATAATTGTCCTTTACCTTGGGAACCTTATACAGCGTGTTTCTTTCTACATACATCAAGATGGTATATTAGACACTTTTCTCTTTAACTTTAATCTTTCGCATGTCTCTTTTAAAAGTAGTTTAGATTATTTTTGAAACCTCTTCTTAATAACCCTAAATAATTAGTGTTAAGTAATAAATATTGTATTTCATTTAAATAATTGACAAAATTATTTGGCTTTCGTACAAAATTAACAACTGCGAAAATTCTATGATTGTTTTTGGCTTTCCATAAAAAGTATCTATAAAATCAATTTTGGTTAGGTTTATAAATATCTACCTAAATTTTATTTGACTGGTAGACCTTTATGGCTCTGGAACTGTGGACAACCTGACAGGCTACTTCACGGGCTTTGGCTCGAAGCCCGAGGTGGTTTTTAGTCAGCAAGAGTCTAACACTCTCTCGCCTCTCCAAAGGCTGGAGAAGTCATTGGGTGACATTCCCCACTCAAAAAAGGCCCCAATGCTAGGTTAAAGCCATTTTGAAGATTGTTTAAAACGTGCAAACAATATTGACCACTTTTACCGTAATTTTACCTTTGAAAGTCTTTCGGAAAAGGTGGTATTAATTACTATATGGCAACTATATCTACATATTTATGCGAGAGACCCGAGTCTTGTAATTAAACTAATTATAGACCTACTCATCATCCAATTAATAGCTCTCGAGGTGTGAAATAATGTCGTCCAACATATCAAAGATATTTATAATTAAAATGGCTGCCATAATTCTTGCCCTAATTATTTATACAATGTCAAACTGATTGTCATTCAGCAAAACTGTTTGACAGTGATGTATTGTTGTGTCAAATTGTCCTGTCATTATTTTAGGTCGACCATAATTCGATTAAGGTCGAAATAAAGGCTAGATTGATGATAAATAAATAATGTGTTGATATTTTGTTGTTTAGTTTCTATTTTCATGTATATATCTCAATAAATTGATTAGATTTTTTATTATTAATTATTTTCAGAAATTTCTTTATGACTATTTTTTGTGAATATTAGTTTGTCCCGATTTTTATTCAATTTTAAGGATTACTTAGGTAGTGCTGAAAAATACGAAAATGTGGAACTTGTACTTCTACCCTTTGTTTTACTCTATTCCAGGGTAAAGGCACCGGTTCTGGTCATCGTACCCTGTTGTACGGCAATGCTATCCTACTGCGACATCTCAACAGTGACATGGTAAGCTTATTTATTTTCATATTTCTATTGCGCCTGCCAGACTTTGCTTCTGGCGCTGCTCATTGCAATGCTCCTTGCGCTGCTGTGATTTACCGCGATATTGTCATCTCTGCCCACGCACTGCTCTACTCGCACATTGCGACGCTCCTATTGCCGATCCTCGGTGCTTCCTCGTATTGCCGGTCTTTTGACTCGCGCGCAAAAACCGACAAAATAGGGAGCAGTGGGCAGGACGAGGAGCATGACGAGTAATGTTGCCACACTATGTCTCTGCATCCTTGCCACGTTACTTCCCATACCACTCGTCGAGTGTGTGGCAGGCGTATATGCGACACTTAATATATTTTAATTCTTTTCTTATCAAAGCCGACAATATAACAAATTTCAACTTCATTAGTTTGTTATAGAGTTTATAATTTATTGACGTAGTAATTTAGCGTTTCAGTTTAACAACTTTACAAAACTATATTTTCATGATTTAATGAACACAAATGAGTTAATTTATCGCTGCACTTTGATTTATATTTCTAAGTAATTCATTAATACTTTTTATAATTGACATGCCACTTCTGATTTCCAGTACCTGGCCTGTCTGTCGACGTCTTCATCTCAGGACAAGCTGGCCTTTGACGTGGGTCTACAAGAGCATTCTCAGGGTGAGGCCTGCTGGTGGACGCTGCACCCTGCCAGCAAACAGAGGTAACAACACCTTATTTATTGCATTGCATTGCATTTTTATCTTTATTTCTAGTGGGGAACAGATACTCTAGTATCCCTATAAATAGTTTGTAGTTTGTCTAACTTAAATAAATAAATAAAAAATCTTTATTACCAGCTCAATGCATACATACTTTTGGGATCTAGTTACTAGAATTTGACATAAAAAGTTTAAGCCCCGGGAATGGCTAAGTGGTTTATTATATTGACAATACTACTTATAAAGGAAAAATGTTCTATCATTTTCCCATTCATTGTGGCAGTGAAATTTTACTTTATTTTTCAAGTCTGGGGTGGTTTTCGTCTATAACGCCGATGGGCGTCCTCAGCACCGCAAATGGATGTAGATAATTAATTAATGGATAACTGGTTTTCCCAAGAAATATACAATGGTAAAAAAACGCCGATAGGCGTGCTCCGCACCTGAATATGAGATAAAAAAACGCTGATAGGCGTCTGCCGCAGCGAATAGGTTATCCGCTAAATGACTGTTGGTTTGTCGCATTAGAAAAAATATTGCGTAAAATGAGTTTTATTTTCTCACAAAACAATCTATTATCTGGAATTGTTGAAACTAGATATGTTTCATTTTGTGTAGCCTCACTAATTTAAAGAGACCTTACAAGGCATATTTATAGTCTATTTTGTACACATAAATAAGAATATGCTTGAACAAACGGATACTTAAGGTAATAAAACATTGTCAATTAAACTTGTATATTTTGTCATTCGACAGATCAGAGGGTGAGAAAGTCCGAGTCGGTGATGACTTGATTCTGGTATCCGTGGCTACTGAAAGATACTTGGTAAGTTCGATTTTGAATCTTACACTCCTTATTTTAAAGATGTCTGATTTGTAAGGCCAACTACGTACTTGCGATTTATGAACGTGAGACGATCTGAGAAAAGATATCATGGTAAAGAACAATCTAAGATTTATAATGTAGTTTTGTTCAAGATACAACTGTTTACAATTTACAATTGTTAGTGCTAGGACCGTGCGAGACTTTGCCCCGCCATTTCTTTTCTAATTACCCATATTCTGACAGTTTGAGTATTTGTGCGACCCACGCAAATGTTCTTTATGTTGGTATTGTTCGTCAAATCAGTCATCCTCAACTTTTAATTGAGCTGATTGTAAACCGACACATGCGTACTGCCTTCAGAGCGGGTCCCCTCAAACTGTTGTGGTACTTTCCTCAAAAGGCCACTACAGAAAGAACTTGCACGGTTCTCACACATAATCTTTTATACACATTTGTCTGGACTTTAAAAGAGACGGACCTCTGAGTTTGTTTCAGCATTTCTTCTCAGAGTAGTCAGTTAGAAAATGTCGACCTCATCGTTGAGCTTGATAAAATTGACGTGTAAAAGTGCTGCCTTGTAGCCTATTTGCAGAAATAAATTCACTTGTTTCACTTTATACATAACACATTATATACTTTTGAAACATATCAAGATATTCAAAATAAATATTAAGTAATTATTTAACCCAGGGCAAGGTCATATTGTCGCCATCAGAATGTGCTCCGCGAGTCATCACGAAAGGACTCAGGTTTATATTGTCGGTGAGGCTAAAGCCTAAAGGCCTAAATGTTAATGTAATATGTGTACATTTGTGATCATTTTATATGTTGCGTTTATATGTTGAAGTTAATTCATTATTACTTTTATATTGTGTTGGAAAATCATCGTGAATCTGCATAGCACATTTATTTGTCTCAAAAAATCACAATAGCTCATTAAATCCTGTTTTATGTTTAAAGCTGTTTTGGCTTTCAATGAAATATTGTTTTAATGAATTTTATTTTGCGTTCAGAAATAGAATTCTTGAATGTTATCTACATTTTATTTGTTTCATTTTATTTTTAAATGTTGTGAACGTATTTGTAAAGTAAAACACATTATGAGCACTAGATAAATGTATCATTTTGGTTTTTATTAGTTTTCATACTGTATACGTGGGTATCATGAATCTACGCTGTTGTTTATATGTATTACAAAAACTTTGATTTGTACGTTATTTTCTTACATGGCTTCAAAAATATACTTATTTACCTATTTAAAATTACATACAGTTTGCACTATTGCAATAATGTAAACTATAAAATATTTACATACGCAATTAAATTGTAACAAATCAACATCACGTTGGTTGTTTTTAAAACCAGGAAAGTCCCAAATGAAATAAAAATCTGTAACCAATTTATTGAACCCAATTTTTATTTACATTTAATTTCACAGCACACCACAAAAGAAAACGAAGTATCGATAGTGAACGCTTCATTCCACGTGACTCACTGGTCAGTGCAACCGTACGGTACTGGCATCTCTCGCATGAAGTACGTGGGATATGTCTTCGGAGGTGATGTCCTGAGGTTCTTCCACGGAGGAGACGAGTGTCTAACCATACCCAGTACGTGGACTAAAGATGGGGGACAGAAGTAAGTCGGTTTTAAATAATTGTTGTATTTTTGCAGCGGGACTGTGTCTGGCCAGGATAATGTTGGTTATGTGAATGTGTCTGGCAGTGTTGGTTATTATAACGACTGGAATTCCAATACATTTTGGAAAATGTTTTTTAAAGTTATTGTGACAAAATTGGTTGCTTAGAGTAATGTGTATGGTGGTTACAGTTCTGTTACTATAAAATCTTACTAAAATAATTTAGAAAAAATGTAAGTAATTTAAAAATGTGCAAACATTTCCGAATAAGAATCATTTATGTTATTAATTATAATCCAAGGAATTATTATTTTTTTGTTTTTTTTTTGGCATACATATAAGCCGGTAAACGAGCAGACGAATCACCTGATGGTAAGCAATCGGCGTCGCCCATGGACACCTGGAACACCAAAGGCATTATAAGTGCGTTACCGGTCTTTTGGGAATTAGGAGTTTGAGGATCGTTGGGGATTCAGGAATTGGGGAGATTGGGGAAAGTGAGAGTAATTGGGCCTCCGGTAACCTCACTCACACGACGAAACACAACGCAAGCGTTGCTTCAAGTCGGTTTTCTGTGAGTAATCAACTACAATTAACCATTACTATCATTTTTTAAATAAAATATGAATTTCTTTGCAGTATTGTGGTCTACGAAGGCGGTTCCGTGATGTCACAAGCTCGTTCACTATGGCGCTTAGAGCTGGCTCGCACCAAGTGGGCAGGAGGCTTCATCAACTGGTACCATCCAATGAGGATCCGACACATCACCACTGGCAGATACCTCGGAGTCAATGACCAGAATGAGCTGTATTTAGTTAGCAGGTAGATTGGTTTTTGTTTGTCCAGCGACGTAGGTTTTTTTTTGTATTTTTGAAATGACAATGTTGAGGAATTTGTGACACAAAAATAGACGATGATTGAAAATATTTGTGTATATCGTGCGTGACACAAAATCAATGCCATGTCTGAACATCAAAATCAATTATTTATAGTTATTTATTTATTTAAATTTTGTATGAAGAAAAGAAGAAAGAATGCTAACAGCATTATCTGGTAGTCATTCTTTAGTTAGTGCAGAAATCTATGTGGTAGGTAGAACGCTGCAAAAAGGTTATGAGAGGTAGTGGTAACTATACAAATTTTTACAACAGCATCAAAAGCATTACTTGATGTACTTACCTACATCTAGACTACATTTTTTGGATACTTAAACATAGTTTTACATTTTAACACCATTTCTCCTTACTGTCCAATTGTAAAGAAACGGTCACTTTCAGCTGTGAGCTGAAAAATAAAACCAAATATCCTCGAACACGAATTTATTAATTTATTCGTATTTTTTTAAGCTAATGGAAAAAGATCACGATACTAATGAAAATGGCGTCTTTATCTTTTGTAACATAACATAAATAACATCACGCCTTTTATCCCCGAAGGGGTCGGCAGAGGTGCACATTATACCACTGTACAATGTAACACCCACTTTAACTATTTATGTTATGAGTCCCATGTAATAGGGGGGTGAGCCTATTGCCATATACCGGGCTCAATTCCAGACTCCGTGCTACTACTGAGATTTAAAAAAAACCCAGTAATATATTGCTTTTTCTTTTGTAGATGATAGAATCTACGTTTTATAAAACTATTATTACCTTCAGATAACTATTGTTTTACCTTCAGAGAGGAAGCCACTACAGCATCCTGCGCGTTCTGCCTCCGCCAAGAGAAGGATGATCAGAAACAGGTGTTGGAAGACAAGGACCTGGAAGTTATAGGCGCTCCCATCATCAAGTATGGTGACTCCACTGTCATTGTACAGCACTCGGAGACTGGGTTGTGGCTCTCTTATAAGGTAACTAACTAGAGTATACTAGAGTAAAAATATACATAATTTTATTTCAAGTTTCAAATTAATCACTTGATATAAATCTCCAAAATTTGTTCATGCAAAAGGAACACAACATAACACCACCCCTTTTATCCCCAAAGGGGTAGGCAGAGGTGCACATTACGGCACTTAATGCTACTTTACAATATAACACCCATTTTTCACTATTTATGTTATTAGTCCCATGTAATAGGGGGTGAGCCTATTGCCATATACCGGGTACAATTCCGGAATCCGTGCTACTACTGAGAATTTTAAAAAAATCCCAGTAATACTTTGCCCGACCTGGGAATCGAACCCGAGACCCATTGCCCGGCAGTCGCACTTGCGACCATTAGGCCGACGAGGCAGTCTGTCTGTCTTTAATTCAACAAAACTTTATTATTGACACATTAACTAAAAAGTCGTGCTTTTTACAGTCATATGAGACAAAGAAGAAAGGAGTAGGCAAAGTAGAAGAGAAGCAGGCGATCCTACACGAGGAAGGCAAGATGGACGACGGACTGGACTTCTCAAGGTCACAAGAGGAGGAGTCCAGGACTGCTAGAGTCATTAGGAAGTGTTCGTCTCTGTTCACCAAGTTTATCAAGTGAGTCATCTTCTGGAATCATTTGTCATCATTTTCCTTCAGCACCTACCTTCACTGACAGACAGACTGACGGATAATTCAATTTGAAAGTTCCAATAGTGTCTAAGTAAGGATTAATTGAAATAAATGCTTTGACTTAAAGTACTGTCATCACTCGACACTGGCAGTATAGTCGACAAGATCATTTTGGAGACTCGTTTGCCAAAGAGAGAAAAAAAAAATGCTTTGACTTGACTTTGACGTCTCCATTTTGTATCAAGAAAATGTACTAAGGTTAGCGGCATTCACTAAAAGTTATATCACAATTTAAACAAAAATTTTGGTCTCGTAAATAAATAAAAGATGAGGTCCTTCTCTGAGATTTTGATTTGTGTAATATTAAAAACAATGTAAAACACGTTTTTCCGTCTTTGTTGCTTTTCAAAGGAATATTTTATTGATTTCGGTTATTGAAAAACTAGAATGTTACTTAATTTGGCACTCCAATTTAATTTAATCCTAAACCTGATATTACTATAATAATAAAGGTATAATCATCGTGTCTTCAATTATCTCCCCCCCCCCCTTTCCCTGAATCCCTAATAATCGTCAAATTCCTAATTCCTAACGCACTTGTAACGCCTCTGGTGTTCCAGGTGTCCATGGGCGACGCCGATTACTTACCATCAGGTGATCCGTCAGCTCGTTTACCGGCTTAACTCATAAAAAAAATGTGGTACCTAATGCTAATTTTAAACCCCTTTCCGCAGTGGTCTGGAAACTCTGCAAGAGAACCGTCGTCATTCGATGTTCTTCGCGTCAGTCAATCTTGGAGAGATGGTGATGTGCCTCGAGGATCTGATCAACTACTTCGCTCAGCCAGATGAGGATATGGGTAAGTGAACAGCGTTTGATTAATGTTAATGCAAATATTAACTTTATTTTACTCAAAATACGATTTACTTTTCTTTGCACTTCTGTGGAAATTGAGATGTCTCTCAGTGTATGAAATTGATACTAACACGTGTCAAACTTGACTCCAAATGCTTATTAAGCTTTCTATTCTCTTGGCCAATTTATCAGTAAACGTTTACCAAAACGTTCGATCGTTCGAAGTTACACAAGTACACAAGTAGAGCTTCGAACGATCAGATCAAGCTTCCTTGTGCGTACTGCTAGAGAGTGGAATTCTCTGCCAGAGTCTGTATTTCCTGAAGGGTATAACCTGGGAGTCTTCAAGACCCGATTGAATAGGTTGCTTATGGGACGACGTGCTCTATGGTAGACCGCATCATCGCTTACCACCAGGCGATATAGTGGTCAAACGTCGGCCCATTAAATTTAAAAAAAGAGCTTCAGAAAAACTTGTTTTTCATACTCATTCTTCGACCATAGTACTTAAACAATATCTTTGATATTTTGACAATACTCTCTAAATTACTTGTTGTGTTTTCGGCGTACTCACGTTACTGTTTGACGAGAAACTCGACTAGTTTCAAGCCATGCTAGGAACTCATATTCATGGGCAGCGTTCCCGACACGCGGCGCGGCGACTAGTAGCAGTGCGAAATCATAATTATTAATTTAATTTATCTCACAAAAGTTATAATATAATTTTTCGCTGAAGTCTAATTCAAATAGGTTTAAACGTAAATTAAAGTCATATTACCTAGAAATGTCTTAAATTCTATATAAGTTTCCTGTATAATATTTATAAGTACATTTATTTTAGTGACTCGACCCCACAGTCAAACCATTGCAACGGTTTTGTGGGGCTTAAATTATAACATACTTACAATAAATAAATCTATACTTATAATAAATCTGTAGAGAGGTAAATTCTGTACATAAAATATATTTAAAAAATAACTATCAAGGGGTGGTTAGGGATCGCTACTGATGCCAAAAATGCAATCAGTAAAATTTTTGTCTGTCTGTCTGTCTGTATGTTCGTTATGGAAACAAAAACTACTCGATGGATTTTAACGAAATTTGGCACAATTATTCTTCATACTCTTGGGCAGGTTATAGTATACTTTTCATTACGCTACGATCAATAGGAGCAGAGCAGTGAAGGGAAATATTGGGAAAACGGGAGAAGTTACTCCATTTTTTAAACTTCCGTCGCGTGTGCAGGCTTATAGGTTAAAGCTGCATAGAAATCATGTATGACGGAAATATTCTCCTTAAAATTATATAAAAAATATTCCTCGACAGCACATGTCTATCTTTTATGGTTGACTCACAATAACACGTGAAACTCCAGATAGCTGAGCAATTCGGTGATTTTTGATTGTATTTGTCTACTCTAACGTTTACAATACTTATTCATAGACTTTAGGCTGTAACTGAAAGGCCAATAGTTGAAATTAGCTTGACTCGATATTATAAATGTAAATATGTGAGTTTATGTGTATGTTTGTTACTCAGTCATATTAAAACGACTGAAGGGACCGGAATGAAATTCGGAACAGAGGTAGATTATGGTCTGAAGTGATATATAGGCATTTTACCCCTGGGATCGCGGGCGAAGCCGCTGGCAGAAGCTAGTAATAAATAAAGCTTTAAAGAATAATTCACCATAAACCTCATTTTTCATCGTCATCATCTTTTAAATAATCTACCAAATCCAATTCCAGAGCACGAAGAAAAACAGAACAAATTCCGCGCGCTCCGAAACCGTCAGGATCTGTTCCAAGAGGAAGGTATCCTCAACTTGATCCTCGAAGCCATCGACAAGATCAACGTCATCACATCACAGGGCTTCTTGGCTGGGTTCCTGGCGGGAGACGAGTCTGGGCAGAGCTGGGAGATGATCTCAGGGTACCTGTATCAATTGCTTGGTAAGTGTAGAATATTTTGAGATTACTATTTACGACTTTTCATAAATGATTGCCATAAAATTACTTTACCTCTGTGACATTTGGATAGGCATAGGTAACTATATTACTTCTGTATAAATCGAACAGACATAATGTTTGTGAAAATGTAAAAAACTATAAATGAATTAATTCAGCGCAATCCTTAAAACTGTAATATATATCAATAGGACCTAGGGATGTATGTAATTAATAACCGGCTTTAATCCGAAATCTTTGTGTCAATTTGGGTTTTAAACAAAGTCCTATAATTTATGACATTCTTCAAAAATAATTTTTAAAGTTTTGTATTAAGGTCGATTGGTAAATTGTTTGAATATGTACATACATTAAATCTTTTAGTCTAATTACCAATATCCAATTAATATCCTGTCTCCCCCAGCGGCCATAATAAAGGGCAACCACACGAACTGCGCTCAGTTCGCCAACTCGAACCGCTTGAACTGGTTGTTCTCCCGGCTCGGGTCGCAGGCGTCGGGCGAGGGGACCGGCATGTTGGACGTACTACACTGCGTGCTCATTGACTCGCCTGAAGCCTTGAATATGATGAGGGTGAGTGACCACTGATTTAGTTTTTTTTCCCATCTCACCCAGGCGGTCCACCGGCATCCAGTGTCAGACTCTTATTGACTAAAAACCACCCCGTTCCTACTTTTGCACGTCGAGCCGGAGCCCCGGTAACCAGCTAGATTCTCCGCGGCTCCGTATCGGCATCGGCCCTGTTGGACCTCATCTGTGGTGGTCTGATGGCTCCTTGAGGCGCGCGCGGAACGCGCGACGCGCCGTACGCACGGGTCACCGCTGATTTAATATATGAGTCCAGATTATTCAAATTCACAATTTTCTTAATGCCAAACCACAAACTGTGCGTATTGTTCCTGTTCAAAATTTTGTGATGACAGTTCTAAAAGTGGATAAAGAACCAAAAATGTTTTATTGGAGCAGTAACAGAGTTCGATTTGACTGCACGGTTGGTGAGGTGACTGGGCGGGTTCGATTCCCGACGAAACAACTCTGTGTGATCCACAGATTGTTGTTCTGGGTTTGCGTGTCATGTGTTTGTCAAATAGTATGTTTTTAAACTGTCAAACCCCAAGCGGTCACCGGTGACCGCGACCTATTGTTCTTTAATTGTGTCTATAAAACCGGTACTCGACGAGTTAAAACGCACCCACGACATAGAAGGAAAACGATTTTTTAAAAATAAAAAAAAATATATTATTACCCCTTACTCTTGATTTTAGTATATGTATGAAATTATTTGTATTTTGGCTATGGAACATTCTAGTAATAGCTTATATAGAGGATGGTAAAGACATAATACATGTATTTATCATCAAAATCACTTAGTCCACTACTGGGCTAAGTGCACTATGGAATGATTTGCCATCATGTGGAGATGATGATACGACTTGACGCTAAATAGAGTAGATCCTTTTATACGACTCCAGCAGACAGGGTAGGGATGCCGTAACCCGTAGCCTCACACGGCTTACTATCTGACCTTTTACATAATCCAACATTTTACTTGCAGGATGAACACATAAAAGTAATTATCTCCCTCCTTGAGAAGCACGGTCGTGATCCGAAAGTACTAGATGTCCTATGTTCACTCTGCGTCGGTAACGGGGTGGCCGTCCGTTCGTCACAGAACAATATCTGCGACTATTTACTGCCGGGCAAGAACTTGCTCTTACAGACTGCCTTAGTAGACCATGTGTCCAGGTGAGTTTGAACTTAATTGCTGTAAGAATAAGGTTGGATTTAACTTGATCATTCTCAATTGTAATTCTTTAAATGATGTTAAACTATATTGTTTTGTAGTATAGCTTTTTTTCTCTTTATTAAAATACAATAAGAGTCTTTAAATCTAAGGAGATTGTGCTAGACTCATCGTGACCATGAGAATTATTGGAGTAACGAGAAGGATAGGTACAAACTGCATACAAACTCATAGATCTTAACAGCACCGTCATAGTATGGATTGGACAGGATGAATTAAAAAGCACCTATTTCTGCAACATTAATGTTCAATTCTTGAATTAATATTTATCTCTCTTCTTTTTATGGCATAAGCCGGTAAACGAGCAGACGGATCACCTGATGGCAAGCAATCGCCGTCGTCCATGGACACCTGGAACACCAGGTTACAAGTGCATTACCGGCTTTTTGGGGATTAGGAGTTTGAGGATCGTTGGGGATTAGAGTAGTAAAGCTTAATATAACTTTGGTGGTTTTCAGATGAATAAAATCTATAGCCTCTAATGTTAATATTATGTATAGTTTTGAATACTACCACGATTACAATAAGGTTCCTATTGCAAAAATATCAATCGCGATTTCAATTTTTCAGTGTTCGTCCAAATATCTTCGTGGGACGTGTAGAAGGGTCGGCAGTGTATCGTAAATGGTACTTTGAAGTGACCATGGATCATATCGAGAAGACCACACATATGATGCCGCATCTTAGAATCGGATGGGCTAATACTACTGGGTAAGATTATTGATTTCTTACAGGATAAGCCGGTAAACATACAGTCGGATCACTTGATGGTAAGCAATCGGCGTCGCCCATGGACACCTAGAACACCAGAGACGTTACAAGCGCGTTACCAGTGTTTTGCGGATTAGGAATTTGAGGATGGATGGGGATTCGGGGGTTGGGGAGATTGGGGGGGGGGGGTAATTGGGCCTCAAAGCTATGGTAATTTTGATATTATCCTTTTTTGTTTTATTTGTCGTCACTGTCGCTGTTTATCACTCATCATCGACAACCTATAAATGCCCACTGCTGACTGCTGAGCAGCCTTTTCTCACACGGAGAAGGTTTGAGCATTAATCACCACGCTTGCTCAATGCGAGTTGGTGATTTCAAACTCATAATTAGAAATTATAAGCACAGGTTTCCTCACGATGTTTTCCTTCACCGTTCGGCAGTGGTGTCTAGATAATCTTAGAACGTACATATAACTCGGAAAAGGTCACATTGGTACTTGCCGTTGGTAGGTTACGAACCCGCACTTTCATGTATGAGAAGTGCGTCATAAACCTCCGGGCCAACACAACGTTTCCGGACATATGCATCTCTAATTATAAAAACAAATAATAATCCGTATTCCAGCTACGTACCCTACCCTGGTGGTGGTGAGAAGTGGGGAGGTAACGGTGTGGGAGATGATCTATACTCGTATGGTTTCGATGGAGCGTACCTCTGGTCTGGTGGCAGAAAGACGCAGGTTAACAGGACCCACGCTGAGGAACCTTATATTAGGAAAGGTGGGTGAAAGATTAACTTCATTTAGACTCAGTTTATTGTTTTTTGGATTATATTATTAGATTGTCATTTTGTGTAATTTTTTGATTTTTAGTTAAGTCCAAATTAAAACAACCATAACTTGATACGATATTTTTTTACCACGACGGTGGCAAATAAAACACACTGCCCACCTGATGGTAAGCGGTTACGCTTGCAACACATGCGCCTTGCCGACCCTTTATAAACCTGTTTACTCCTTTTTTGGAGATTTTACAATCTTTATTTTATAGTCCAAAAGTTGAAGTTCTGGAAATAGATTTATTTCTTTGATCTTTCAGATATTTATATAAATAAATAATTGTAACTCTGAAAGAACTCTAATTAAAATGCTTCAAAAAACATATGAAAATTACGCAGAAAACATCTTTTCCAATTGAAGTAAACTCTGTAGTCTAGATAACAAAGTCTATTTTCCGCTAACAGGTGATGTCATCGGCTGCGCTTTAGACCTGACAGTGCCTATCATCAACTTCATGTTCAACGGCGTGAGAGTGACAGGCTCCTTCACGAACTTCAACCTGGAGGGCATGTTCTTCCCTGTCATCAGCTGTTCGAGCAAGCTAAGGTGAGACCAATCTAGTTTAGTGGCGTCTCTAAAACAAGTGCAGATTAAGGCCCAGGTGCACTATCGGCATCGGCAAGGAAAATGATCCTTCGGCATCTTACATGCAAGCACACACTGTCGGAAACTATGCTTTAGCAAGCTTGAACGTTTTTAGGGATGACGAGGCGTCCTTAAGCATGCCGCACCGTCCTGAAGTATGCCGAAGCGTCTCAATATCGTATTTCTCGTCATAACGGTCTCAGAGTTGTTACAAGCTAGTTGTCTGAGTTGTATTTAATATGGTGGACTGGGATCTAGTGCTCATAGCAGCTCTTGGTCAAGAAGAAGAGAAATCTAACCAATCAGGCCGGCGGCGGACGGCCGGAGGATGCCGAATCATCCCGAAGCATCCCGAAGGATTCTCAAGGCTTACCGAAGCAGTATTTTTATTATTACGACCATATGCACGGCAATTTCTATTTTATTGCTATTATGTTAATGAATCTTGTATTGGTAATATATTTACTAACTTACCCGACGAAAACATAGAAAGTTGTGAAGTTAATCACAATGGTTTGGCAGATGGACATGCAGGATTACTGTGCAGTGCTGTATTTAAGACGAATAAATTAGGTAAAAACATAAAAAGCACTGTTCTACATGTTACAAAGAGACTCTTCACAACGAATTTTCTGCAAAGAATAAACAGAAGTTCAGAGACTCGCTTTTGAATCTAAACTGGAGTGGAATTGGCATAAATACGTTTCTAAAACAATTTGACAGCACGTTTAAGAACTGTTTCAGAAAAAAGTAATTAAAAGTGCACGTAACAAACAAAAAACCAACACATTGGATAACAAGAGGGGTAAAAGTTTCTAGCAAAATGAAACGATTTCTCTGTACTGGAAAAGTTAATAATCACTGTGATGCATTAAACAACTATAGACATAAATATATTACTCTTTATAGAAAAGTCATAAACATAGCCAAAAAGATAACAGCGGAATCGAAATTAGCCAACTCAAAGAACATCTCAAAAGATGTCTGGAAACTAATAAATGAACACAGGAACAAGAAAGTAAAAAATAACAAGATACCTTCTTTAAAATTGAATAATGAAGTTTTGTCGGATCCATTAGATATTGTAAAGGTTTTCATTGAGCAATTTGAATTGAGCCCTACGACACCAATATGTCCAAATGCAGCAGTAGATTTTTTACGCAAGAATGCGAAAAGAGTGACTGGTGATTTTACTCTAGTCTCAACTTCCCCCCACGAGGTATACAAAATCGTGAGACACATGGAGGAAAAAAGATCTTGTGGCTATGACGACATACCAATTACAGTAATTAAAGATAATATTGACTTACTGGCAGAACCTTTAAGTGATTTTTATAATAAATGTTTCGACGAAGGTATTTTTCCGGATCAGCTAAAAATAGCTAAAATAATACCAATACATAAGAAGGGGTCCAAAACGGACCCTAAGATGTACAGACCCATTTCTTTGCTACCAACTCACTCAAAAATCTTTGAAAAGTTAATAAAAGCCCGATTAATAAGACACCTAAACTCAAATGGAGTACTAAGCAGAAGACAGTATGGTTACCAGAAAAATGTAGGGACACAAGATGCAATAATTAATTTAATACAGGATGTGTTAAGTAGATTAAACGGAAAACAAAAAGTAGCCGGGCTGTTCCTAGATTTAAGCTCAGCTTTTGACACAGTAGATCACAAAATACTAATTGAAAAATTTGAACACTATGGTGTGAGGGGTAAAGCGTTAGAACTCCTAAAGTCATATTTGACGAACAGGAAGATGTTTGTAGAAATGAACGTAGTAGTTAACAAAACAGATCCATTAAATAATAGTGACACTAGTTCATTAGAACAGACGTACAGATCTAAACTGGTTCCAGTTCAAATTGGTGTACCTCAAGGCTCCATTTTGGGGCCAATATTTTTCATTATTTTTATTAACGATCTTATAAAACACATGAATGAAACAGTTACAGGATCTATCCAGCTAGTAGTTTTTGCTGACGATACAAATGCAGTTGTATCAGCAAATAATATAAATAATTTAAATGTAATTGTGAATCAAACGTTGAGTAACTTTCACAACTGGTTCTCAGTGAACAATCTTAAAGTTAATACCAGTAAAACGAATGTCATACTTTTCAGTCCAACCACAAGAAAAAATGATAGAATAAACTGCGTGATGAATGGAGAAGTAGTAAATCTGGCCCCAATGGTAAAATTTTTAGGAGTTTATATAGACTGCAATTTTAACTGGAAACAAGAACTTATTCATATAGAAAAGACAATCAGCTCGGCATGCTATGTTTTTAAGAAGTCTTAGGAATGAAGTCGACATTAAACATCTTAAAATGGTCTATTACGCACTAGTCGAATCAAAATTAAGATACAGCATACTATGCTGGGGTGGTAGTTATGCATATAACATTCAAAAAGCTTTTGTTCTCCAGAAAAGAGCGATTAGGACTATAGTTAGGATCCGACAGGAGGTATCGTGTAGACCACATTTCACAGAATTGAAAATATTAACGGTCCCAAGTTTATATATTTTAGTACTACTAACGCACTTACGAAAATATATACACGAGTTTGAAACAGAAGAAGAAAGACAGAAAAGGGAAAATACAAGAAGGAAAGACTTGCAGACTAAACACGCACCTCATCTTAATATTTTCGAGCACGGTTTCTATTACAAGTCAGTTAAAATATTTAATAAATTACCTACTGAATTAAAAATCTTAGTTTATAACCGAGAATTTATAAAACAACTCAAGCAGTTCTTGTTAGACAAGTGTTTGTATTCTTTGGATGAATTATAGATAAACAATGTTTCTACAAAATTTGACCTATTAGATATTATTTCATAATATATTAAGTATTATTTAGTTTTATACCTACTACTACCTTTCTAACAAATAATAATGACATTTATCGGGACATTTTAAATTTATTATAATGCGTTTTTTTTTTCTATTATTATTAATTATGATGACTTTTTTTTTTTTTTTTTCTTGATTGATTATATATGACATACCAATGGATTAATTTGTAACTACTTTATAATTATAATATTATGAAAACTTCAAACACAATGTATATTGTTCATGAATAAATAAATAAAATAAAATAAAATATATTGCTATTTGCCACCTAAAATCCATAGACGTGTCGATGCCGATAGTGGGCGCTGGGCCTAATGGTTTCCTCATTGTAATATTTGCGTGGTTAATAGTTACCAATATAGTAAAGATCAGTTACATGTATACTTGATTGTAAAAAGGATATTGTTGAAGCAACATTGGTGATCTAGTCACTACATCAACAAGGCAGTTGCAAGTCCAAATCTTAATTAATTCCTGACTTGAGTTACTCAGTAGTTACTCAGTTAAAAAGTATAAAATCCTTTTGAATATAAACATACTAGTATCATTAAAAAATCATAGATGTATAAGATGTTATAACTCGTTCCTCTCTCCTCAGTTGTCGTTTCCTCCTGGGAGGCGAGCACGGTCGGCTCCGTTACGCGGCCCCGGAGGGGTACTCTCCCCTGGTGGAGTCGCTCCTCCCTCAACAGATCCTCAGCCTGGAGCCATGCTTCTACTTCGGGAACTTGTCCAAGCGAGCTCTGGCTGGTCCACCGCTAGTACAGGATGATACAGCTTTCGTGCCAACTCCTGTTGATACGCTGCAGGTAAGCAGATTTAATGATATTTTTTGGGATCCTGTATAGACCAAATGCGACTGCAACTTGAAAATTACTTGTTTGAACACCAGATTGAATAATTTATTTATTTGTTTCATATCATAACACCACGCCTTTTATCCCCGAAGGGGTAGGCAGAGGTGCACATTACGGTACTTAATGCCACTGTACAATTTAACACCTACCTTTCACTATTTATGTTATGAGTCCCATGTGATAGGGGGTGAGCCTATTGTCATATACCGGGCACAATTTCAGACTCAGTGCTACTACTGAGTTTTTTTTTAAACTTCTAATAATTTGCCCGACGCTCCAACCACTCGGACAGCGAGGCAGTCGTTTTTTATTTGTTTTATTTCGCTTTTATTTGATAGCAATCAACTTTTCTCGTTTAAATTCTTAGTCAATAGCTTGGATTGGTTGGATTACAATATTATGAATAGATTTGATCATTGTTTCTTCGTTAACATGTTTATTCTCAACTACTCAGAACATTGTGCTATAATAATGTATTGTAATTTTACTTTCAGATACCATTACCTTCATACGTGGAACAGATCAGAGACAAGCTAGCTGAAAACATTCACGAAATGTGGGCCATGAACAAGGTACGTCATAACAAATATAATTACATGATAAGTTAATAATACACACACACACACACACACACACACACACACACACCCTCATACACACACACACACACACATACACACACACACACAACCTATACGATACTGTGGAACACCAATTGGTGCGATTCTTACATACCTCTTTAGTTTCATCAACAGTCATCATGTATTAAGAAGTTAATAATGAGTTAATATTAAAGTTATTGGTGCCCTGAATGAAGAAAGAAAATCTTTGCAGAACTTTTCTTTTTTAAATGAATATTTTAATGTAGTGTTGAGAATACAAAGACTTCATTATTTTTGGCCATCCACCATTTTCTATCAAAAACAAATACATTGTTGTTTTTATAATAACTATCGTATCGTAATAACTATCGTGAGTATACAATATACTAGATTAACTAAAAATCGCTATGTCGCGCAGCCTACACCACGACCGCGCTCGCTGATTATAAGGAAGAGCTCTACTAGTTTCGAGCCACAGAGGGGTCTGTGGTTCGAGACTAGTAGAGCTTTTCTCAGTATATTCACGTAAGTAACCCGCGATTTTTTGTTAACTACATTATTGTTTTTGCCTATTCCAGATCGAAGCAGGTTGGATGTACGGAGATCAGCGCGACGACTTGCACAAGATCCACCCCTGCCTGGTGCCCTTCGAGCGCCTGCCTCCCGCCGAGAAGAGATACGACATACAACTTGCTGTGCAAACACTCAAGTAACTTCTTTGATTTTAACTGACTGTACTTAAAAACTGGTCTACCAGACGGTTACTTCTCTATTCTTTATTTTAATGCTATAATCATAGAATGTATGGAACAAATCACTTATGCAACACAAAATGTTTTACGATTGTTACTTTTCTTAAGGTAGATTCACCAAAAACCATTTATTTGACTCTTTTACTTTGACTTTGACTCACACACGTAAAGATAATTTAAAAAAATACAGGATTAAACTTCTTATTTACACTAATATTATAAATGTGAAAGTTTCTTTGTTTGGATGTTTGTCCGTCAATCACGCAGAAAGTACTGAACGGATTTTGATGAAATTTGGTATAAAAGCAGGGCATGGGCTGACTTACGTCCAATTTCAATAACCTATCTATCTGTAGATTTGCTTACTAGTGATAGAATTTTGACACATTTTGTATGGAGCTTATGTCAAAATACTATTTCTAATAAGCAAATCTACAGATAGACAGGTTATTGAAATTGGACGTTAGGTGATAGGATTTTTTATCTCGATTAAATGCTCTCATGGCATAAAACATGATTCTACGCGCACGAAGTCGCGGGTAACAGCTAGTGAAATATAGTTTTAAGATCAAAATGTTTATAGGTAATAATTTGATTATAGTTATAACCTGCATTTTGAAAAACAAATGTATTTGTTCTAGGACAATCCTGGCCCTAGGCTACTACATCAGCTTAGACAAGCCGCCGGCGCGCATACGCAACGTTCGTCTGCCGAACGAACCGTTCATGCAGGTGAGATGCGTCATTTTCTACTGTATATTAATCTTATGTAGAATCCTTACGTAACTCGTCGAGTACCGTATTTATAGACACAATTAAAGAACAATAGGTTCCGGTCACCGGTGACCGTTTGGTGTTTGACAGTTTAATATTATAAATCGGAAAGTGAGTTTGTTTGTTTGTTCCGACTTCACGCCGTAGCTACTAAACCGATTGCATTGAATTTTTGCAGACGTAAAGTTAGTAGTCTGGATTAAATAATAGGGTACTTTTTATCCCGAAAAAATTTGATATTACCGAGGGAAAACAAAATTATTGGTATAGATGGCGCTGTATGTATTGGTATATGTCACATAGGCTATTTTTTATCCTTTTGTGACGCGATCGAAGCCGCGGGTAAAAGCTAGTTAAGGAAATATTTTGGACTAACACTGATTAAGCACCTATGTAATTTAAAAGCTTTAAAAGTTCTATATCTATCACACTGTTTTTATTACTACTATAGAGAATAGACAGTAAAGTTCTCTAAGGAAAGGAAAATTTTCAGATCAATCGTGCCTGGCCTGCTTTCTGCCCAATAATTGTTCGTTGGGATTTTCTATCCATGATTATTTGCAAACTTCACATGTGCGATGTAGGATTTGTGTCTTCATAGGTCTATGCGCGTCATCTGAGCTCTATTAACTGCCGTGTCACATTGAAACTTAAATGTGCATCACCACACTATAAATATGACGTGGTCCTAAGTGCGAACCCTGAGGTACCCTTCTGATGATTTAAAAAATAATACTTTAGTAATAACATGTCTTCGTTGCTCATCTGAAGACTAAAGCGATGTTGGCGAATAATGAATTTGATGTATTTGATCCACAAATATTATAGACTAGCTACTTCCGCGCGGTTTCACACGCTCTGCTCAGCTCCTATTGGTCGTAGCGTGGTGTTTTATAACCTATAGCCATCGTCGATAAATGCGCTATCCCACACAAAAAGAATTATTCAAATCAGACTTGTAGTTACGGAGATTAGCGCGTTTAAACAAACAAACAAAAAAATAAACTTTTCCGCTTTATATAATAGTCTATGATGATCCTTGTAAAAAGTATAACCAATAACAATATCTTGGTCTCCAGTCAAACGGCTACAAGCCAGCACCCCTGGACCTGAGTGCTGTCACCCTGACACCCAAGATGGACGAGCTCGTGGACCAGCTCGCTGAGAACACTCACAATCTATGGGCCAGGGAGAGGATCCAGCAGGGCTGGACATATGGACTTAATGAGGTAAATAATTGTGAACTTTATGCGTACGACGTTAGGAATCATTTTTATGTAGATTTGTTAGTGTTAAGTAAAACTGTTAGTTTATAGGACTATTTGTATGTTTTTTTTATTTTTGATATTGTATAAATTGGTGTAACTATGAAGCAAATATTTGCTTCGTGAATGTAAGTAATGAGATAAAATATCTTAGTGTGGAAGAATCTAATTTTATGTCTGAAAAATGAAACTAAAACGCACGGTGATCTCTCAAAACAACTAAAAGATATGATCAAGATACTAAGCTCCTAAACGACTGCACAAATAATGATGAACTTTTTCATACACACAAGAGTGGAATGAAATTCATCATAAGACGCTACACCATCACTATTTTTATAACTTCACGATTGGCGCGGTGACGCGGCAACCGGTTGCCGCGCAATGTGTAGCGGTCTCGATTCCCGCACGGAGCAACTCTTTGTGTGATTCACAAATTGTTGTTTCAGGTCTGGGTGTCATGTGTATGTGATATTTATATGTTTGTAAACGCACTCACGACACAGGAGAAAATCCTATGCCGGAATACTGAAACGTTACTCAATTTTAAGTCGTGCTTAAATATCGTGCCATCTCTGTCATTTTACAAAGAATTTGTGGAGACAAAACTATACTTAAGCGCGACTTAAAATTGAGTAGCGTTTGAGTATTCCGACACTAGTATGGGGCAACGTTTATAAAAAAAAAAACAAGATACATTTTGAGGCTTTTTATGGGATACAAGTAGGCCTGATGGTAAGCAATCGACGGGGTGACATCACCAGTTCCAAGTGCTTTTTAATGGTGTCTACTGTCTCAAGATGTAACCAGTGCCATGAGCTGTGACTCTCACACTTAGTATGTGACCGTTTTATTAGGTGTGAGGGTCACAGCAAGATGTCTCTGTGTACCTCAACGCTCAAGAAAGAAGATACGACTCAGGCTAGAAGGAATCTTTAATTGTGAAGGTGGTGGTCCAGATATTTAATAAACTGGATAGTACTATATAAAATCAGTGTTTTGTAAATTATGAAATTTTATTCTATTATTGTTATTTATGTACCGGTGACGGTTGTGTGTGTGAAAAATAAAATAACATCACGCCTTTCTTCCCCGAAGGGATAGGCAGAGATGCACATTACGACACTTAATGCCACTGTACAATGTAACACCCACTTTTCACTATTTATGTTATGAGTCCCATGCAATAGGGGGTGAGCCTATTGCCATATACCGGGCACTATTCCAGATTCCGTACTACTAACTACTGGGGTTTTTAAAAAACCCAGTAATACTTTGCCCATCCCGGGAATCGAACCCAAGACCCCTTGCCCAGCAGTCGCACTTACGACCACTCGCCCACCGAGGCGGTCAATCTGTGTGAAACTGCAGTATTGTTGAGATCTGTATGCACCATATACCAAGAAGTAAACGATTATTATATTTTTTTATGGATTTTGTATGTTGTTGTGGTATTGATCTCTGGAATGGTTAGACAGATTTTGATGTATTTTACTTTAAGGTATATGTGTTATGTAGGACCTTTTTACATATTTAATTGTTTTCAATAAACGACATTTATTAAGACAGGAGATTTTCTGTCTGGCTACAAGATACTGATGATAAATGCATTTTATTTCTATTGTGGCGTGTGTATATTATGTATTGGTGGTGCCTGGGCAGCCGGCTGTATCGCAAAGTGTATCGGGTTCAATTCCCGCATGGAGCGACTCTTTATGTGATATACAAGTTGTTGTTCCGGGTCTGGGTGTCATTTAAATTTGGATGTTTGTAAACGTATCCACAACTCAGGACAAAATCTTAGTACGGAGCAACATTATTAAAAAAGGAAAGGAAAAGAAAAGGTTTTAACAGATCTCCTTATTGTAGGACCCCGACATGCACCGCTCTCCCCACCTGGTGCCCTACCCGAAGGTAGACGATGCTATAAAGAAGGCCAACAGAGATACTGCCTCGGAGACTGTGAGGACTTTACTCGTCTATGGATACAACCTGGACCCACCCACTGGAGAACAGCATGAAGGTATGTTGCTATTGAAAAATGAACTATAATGTTTAGGTACAAAGTTTAGTTTTGGATACAGAATATTTCTTTAACTTGATGGCACTTTTATTGAACTTTAATTATATGATGTTTAAGTTCGTATTTGTTTAATAAGAAGTAAGATAATTACGTATGTTTTGTCTTTAATTTAACAAAAATAGAACTCGCGGAGAACCTAACGGGTAACTGGGGCTCCGGCTCGACGTGCAGGAGAAGGAACGGGGTGGTTTTTAGTCAGTAAGAGTCTGACACTCCCTTCCGCTTCACCCAGGCGGGAGCAGTCATTCGATGATTTTCCCCCCTTAAAAAAGAATAGGTTTATTTTAAAAGCGTTTTCATAATAAAGAACAAAACCGAAATAACTCAACTCTATAGAATATACATACCTACACAATTTTTAAATACCTATTCGGATGAATAAATTATAATTTGCACCACTTTAAAATAGAAAAATAATAAACAAATCCTGTTTTTATCCACAGCCCTCTTGTTAGAAGCATCAAAACAGAAGCAAGCAGAGTTCAGAACGTACAGAGCTGAGAAGAACTATGCGGTCGGCTCCGGAAAGTGGTACTTTGAGTTCGAGATCCTTACAGCTGGGCCGATGAGGGTAAGCGAACTTTTTGAACTTCTTTATTTTTACTAATAATGCAACTGTTTGTAAGAATTGTGACCATTTCATCAGTTAAATTATAGCTAATATCTTCTAGTTTTAATAGAAACAAAGCAAGATTTAAAATATTTCCACGGTAACCACAAAAAGTTCACGGTAATCAGACCAAACACACTCATACATTTTTTCATGGAATAAGCCTGTAAACTAGCCGACGGATCACCTGATGGTATGCAATCGGCATCGCCCATGGATACCTGGAATACCAGAAGCGTTACAAGTGCGTTACCGGCCTTTTGGAGATAAGGAATTTGAGGATTGTTGGAGTTTCAGGGATTGGGAAGATTGAAGAGGCGTATTTGGGCCTCCGGTAACCTCACTCTTACGACGAAATACAACGCAAGTGTTGTTTCACGTCAGTTTTCTATGAAGCCGTGGGATCACTCCGGTCGAGCCGGCACATTGCCTCGAAGCATGGCTCTCCCACACTTAAATATAGTACCTACCTATTTAGTACTTCGTAATTAGAGTGTTTGTTTTCGATGATTTTCCGAATTACTTTAATATCTATTTTACTTGGAACTTAGGTTTTAGAACAATACTGAAATTATAATCAAATATGTTTCTTTCACAGGTGGGTTGGGCCCATGCTGACATGGCTCCGGGCATGATGCTAGGACAAGACGAAAACTCCTGGGCATTTGATGGATACAATGTAAGTCTAACCAATATTTATTACAATAATAATAATTTAAACTTTATTTTCTAGGCAATTGAAGTTATTTTCGTTTCAAAATGAATAGGGAATGTATTGAAATTAAGTTATTTATGTATTGGTACATTTCATATATTCAGCAGTATCAATTTGTGTCTAATTCTGTTTCAATTTAGGTCCAATTTTCATAAAATAATTATCCTAACTTTTATAGTTTTAAAGACATCGCATCTCCAATCAAAAATAGATCTTATACTACATAGAATACAGATAAAACTTGCAATTAAATTTTGTCTTGTCAAAACGTCATATGTACTACATCACTATCAATCAAAAATATATCTTAAGGCGCATAGAAATAGAGTTTAATTTGCAATTTACTCCAGTCGTTAAAAGTTCACGGCGGGGCGTCCGATACATTTGGGCTCCAGCTCAAAGTCGGTGACATAGTCGGCTGCTTCCTCGATGTCACAGACCAAACCATTAGTGAGTTACCACAAATAGGGACAAGAGGTGCTATTCTGATTGCTATTTTGGTCCTTATGATGATGGAGCGAAGGACCAAATTCACTTACAGCATTAAAAACACAAGCTTTGATTTTATTTTAAGATAATTTAAACCTTAACGAACCGATAAAAGGTTTTAAATAGTTCCAAATTCAAATGTTTTTGGTTAAAATATTATAATAATATAACTTACAGATTTGTATGAATACGTATTATTTAGATTGATTTGATTTAGACAATTTAGAATTTGTTACTTTCCCTTGTGTAAATTAAAAGTAGAAAAAGACATTTTGGCAGTTAAAATCTTCGTTTTCAATCGACATTCAGTCAATATAAACTGAATTCTATGAAAGTTTAGTATCTACTTACTTTATACGGTGTCCCACCTTTTACCTTCTGTCATCGGAGCGAATCTAAATTATTTGTTAAACCAATTTTTATATATCAGAGACTACTTACTTTCATAGATAAAGGTATATGGCAATCGCCACCGATCGCATGATCGATTCTAATATACTGGAACAGTTTTATGTGGAGTTTCTGAATAAATCAGAATAGCACCTTTAAACCAGGTATTCTCCTTCTATAACTATGTGGTTAACTCATGTAATATTCCGTTAAACACCTTTCCTGCTGACCTCTGTTGTATCATAATTGTGTGCCCCAATTTCTATTTAAAAAAACCTTTAAGTAAATGTTGTCTAAGTGTTGAAACTATGTAGTTAATTATTCTATCTATATTGACGTTTGTGTGAGCTAAAAGACCATTATCCATTCTGTGTATTGTTTCTTTTTCGTTTAAAAAATAATGTGACGTTACTTTTTGTCTATGGAAAATAGTAAAAAGTTGAATTACAAAAAAAGTATAGGTACACAGCTCCATTAATTTCTGTTCTAAAGCACAAAAAATCCATGGAGTGATATTATTTTTATTTTAATCTTGATTTTCAATTGTTTCAAGATTTCCATATGCAAAAGTACCGTTTTCTTTACTATTTTCTTTCAGTCATAAAACTTATTACTATACGAATCAACATCAATCGAAATTCAATCTTGTCTAACTAAATTTACCGTACCTTTTACAACGTACATTTTATAAAACACAAAAGGTCGTTAGTACAGCTCATTAGCCAATAAAAAAAAAGTGTCTTTAATCCATTGGATATAAGGTAAAAAGCTATTTTTCCCGACTTTTAAGGAGGAAAAAGTGTTCAGCGGTAGCACAGAATCGTTCGGCAAGCAATGGTCTGTGGGAGACGTAGTCGGCGTGTTCCTAGATCTCATTGATAAGACGATAAGTAAATATCTAGTACATTGGCTTATTGTGGTCTCGGGAACATTTTTATTAAGAAATAACTATCTTTATTATCTTCCAATGTCTATATTTCTTCCTGAAGTGTGTGCTTTATTATTTTTGCAAGTTATCATTATCTTATTTAATATTTTTATTATATTATTAGGTATTTTGTTAATCTTCGCATACGGTTGATGAAGTTTTTATAAAACTGTGTTAATGCTAGTTGTCAAACAATATTCAACTTTATTGCTCTTATGATACAGTTGAAATTTGCTTCTCAGTTAATATTGGCATGCAAACTAATATTAATTAAAAATGTTTGCGATTTCTATTGTTGATTCAATTTCAACATAACAATTAATGCTTTGGAATATTCTAGAGTAAAAAGTATATATATTTTAGCTTTTTTGCTTCTTACATTAAGGTCCAATTTTCAACCAAACAATTTCTCTTTCCCTCTCTATTCCTACCCTACAATTCTTCTATACATGTTTGTCATAATATTTTAAAACTTATTCCTATGTAAATAAGTGTTATTTTTAAATAAAAATGTTCTTCTTACCACAAATGCCAGTCGTGAATGCTTGAACGCGAATCGCTTACTTCGACATAAGAACACCGCATTGCTTTGCTTGCTCTGAATGAAATAAGCACTTTTATGATTCAAAATCATTCATAATTATTATATTTGATCACATACCACTCTTTACGGGGATCATTTTAGGACATCCATTTAGGCGATTTGGCAATATAGATTTTAAGTCAATTTCTAGAAAAAGTAGAATTTAAATTCCACCTTATTATATTCATTTACGGATAACTCCTTTTGCATAAGCCGGTAAACGAGCCTACGGATCACCTGATGGTAAGCGATCGGCCGTTTGGGTATTAGTAATTTGAGGATTGTTCGGGATTTGGGGAGGGGCGAGTCACTTCATCGTGTGGAAACCAATTCTTTTTGTAATTTTTACTTTCTTTAACTAATACCTAGCAGTCTTGATTAAATCTAAATATGCTACAAAATGTTTACACTTGATTTGACATAAATCGACACAAAACTTAATTTGACTGTAACGCCACCTCAAAAACGCAAATTCAGATTAGACTCAATCTTGGTACCATCTTTTATTTTGGAAAGTAAAAAAAATACTGCTCGTCATACTGACATTGAAATAAAAATTTGCGTACCTAAGAAATATATAAAAAAACATAATATGAAACACAATGATCCTTGCTAAAGAGAGTGCGATCAAATCTATACATTAGCAGTATGAAAACATCATCATACATTAAGCAACAGTCGGGTAAAAGTAGTATTGTAACAAAACTGAGTAGCCTAGACGTTTAGATAGCAATACATCTTAAATGTAGATAAGACCCATGTTATAACATTGTAAATAACATTCCTAAAACTTTTCTTTGTGTAACTAATTTGTAGCTCTGATATTATAAATATGGTAGCAAAGAAATGAAGCCACTAGCGTTTTTACTTTTTCATTTCTTGATAGATATTTTCTGATACAAGTATTTTATTAATTGGTATCGTATGTCGTATAAAATTCTCGCCTTGATTGCCTCATTGGCCTAGTGGTCGCAAGTGCGACGGCCGAGCAAGGGGTCTCAGGTTCGATTCCCGGGTCGGGCAAAGTATTGCTGAGGTTTTTAAAAAAATCTCAGTAGTAGCACGGAGTCTGGAAATGTGCCCGGTATATGGCAATAAGCTCACCCCCTATTACATGGGACTCATAACATAAATAGTGAAAAGTGGGTGTTACTACTGTGTGCACCTCTGCCTACCCCTTCGGGGATAAAAAGCGTGATGTTATGTAAAATAAAAGTGTTTAAAAGGCATACATTTTTAGTTATAGATGCTTCGATAGAATTTAAAAAATGCTAGTGGTTTCGTGTTCAATATGGAAGTTGAAATACCAATTCTTTTGATAATTTACTTAGTAAGTAGTTCTACCAAAATCTATAGTTTCAAATCTTATACTACTATATAAAGCTCACTTGACGACAAGAGAGTCGTGTGAAAGGAATTTTCACACAAATATGGCTCTTGAAGAAAACATAAACTGAGAAATCAGACAAAGAAGTGGCTTATTGTTGAAAAACAGATTGCCATGTAGCAGAACTCAAACAAAAAAAAAAAATATAAAGCTGAAGAGTTTGTTTGTTTTTTTGTCAGTGGTGTCTAAATAATCTTAAAAAGTACATATAACTGGATCTTAAAAAGTCACATTGGTACTTGCCGTTGGAAGATCGGACCTGCACTCTCATGTATGAGATGCGGGCGTCTTAAACCTCTAGGCGACTAGGACAGCGTTCCAACGCTGTCTCAGTATTTTTGGTTGATCTCTACTGTATATCCTGGCCTACAGAAGTATAAATGGTTATATTTTAGATTATTATTCTTGTATCAAACATGAAAATCGAATTATTGTAAGGAATTCGTATTTCAACTTCTATTCCACAAAACCTATAGTGCTAATACATATTGAAACTAAGTGCCCATCACATAAGTGTTCTTTTTAATAATCCTTAATAACAAACTAATCCTTACTTTATATTCGTTTCTTTAGTGTGTAACTGCCTACTAATTATGGAATATTGCTGTCTCTCTCTCATATGGTTAAAAGAAAGAGACAGCATTGGTGATTGCAATCTTCATACAATATGTTGTTAAATCCTTGTTTAATGAAAAAGATAATGAGAATAAATTGTATGTTTCTTCTATGGTAAAATTGAGGGATTTTGTAACATATTGTTAATAGAAATTGCACTTTTAGAAAACCTAGTTGCCTAAAAAGAGGTCCTATTTTGTTAGTCGAAAACTTTATTCAACGTAATAATATCGTTAGTGCGGTGGCTGGGCAACTGGCTGCCATGCAACGTGTCGCGGGTTCGATTCCCGCACGCAGCAACTCTTTGTGTGATCCACAAATTGTTGCTCAGGGTCTGGGTGTCATGTGTATGTGAACTTGTATGTTTGTAAACGCACCCACAACAACACCCACAGGAGAACATCCTAGTGTAGGGCAACGTTTTAAAAAATATATATATTACCTTAATAATGTTACCTATTGCTCTTCATTTTTAATCAATGTTGATTAATAAGGTGCAAAAAAAAATTAAAGGTATTATCGCTGAGAAAATAGGACCTCTAAATTCAGAATACTTTTTGCTAAATGAATATTTTTCTAACATTACTTCATGATGCAACAGGTTTCTCTCTGAACGGAGAGCTGTTGATGGACGCTCTCGGTGGAGAGACCACATTCGCTGATGTTCAGGGCGATAACTTCGTGCCAGCTTGCACTTTGGGAGTGGGACAGAAAGCTAGGTAAGTGTTAAGGAATCTTTTTTTTTGAGGGAAAATCATCCATTTACTTTTCTAGCCTGGGGTTGGGCGAGAGGGAGTGTCAGACTCTGATTGACTAAAAACTACCCCGTTCCTACTCCTGCACTTCGAGCTGTTAGGCCTTCCGCGGAGATCTTGGGATTTTAATAACTGAACGTAATGGGGAATTTTTTTCTTCGATTGTCAATGAATATTTAGGGAACAGAGAGTATAGTTCCCTAAGATCGGAAAAGGAGGATCCTCCGACCAGGCGAGGTGATCGTGCCTGGCGGGCTTTCTGCCCAACAGTTGTTCGTTGGGATTTTCTATCCGTGTTTATTCGCTTGTAAACTTTGCATGCGCGATGTAGGATTCTTGTGACGTCATCCGTTGACATGTGGCATGCGTCGCCACAAATAATATAATGAATAATTTATATATTTACATTATTTAACTATTTCAGTTAAGATTTTTAATTTCGTTATCATCAGTTGACGCTAGTGATACTTGTGCCCGTAAGCTAAATACCTAGCAAAAATATAAAATAGAAATCGCCTTTGCTTTAGTACATTTTACCTAATAATATTTTTTAATTCATATTTATTTTTCTAACAGGTTAACATACGGTCAAGATGTGAACACCCTGAAATATTTCACGACATGCGGTCTTCAGGAGGGCTATGAGCCATTCTGTGTGTAAGTATAAAAACAAATTATAGCATAATAAGCTAGCAATACATAATAGGGCCGTTCAAGTATTGGGTAAGCAACATTGGGGGGGGGGTGTCTCTGTTTGGCTTATTTTGGATGATATGTGGGGTAGGGGAGTCTAGATGATGATTACGTCATCGGTAGTTATTTACTTTTTACACGAATGGCAACCCTCATATTAAAATTGTAAATTACAAGCAAAGACCGACAAAGAACTAGACATTATGGTATTTAAGAGAATAATAAAATTACAATATAAAAAAGATATAAAAACAAACTAGTCTTCAGCAGTGGACTCTCATGAGCTGTAGGTACATACTGTACTACTGTACTACTATACAATATTATCTACAATATACGTGTCGTTTCCATAGCAACATGAAACGCGACGTGACACACTGGTACACGAAGGACCAGCCCATCTTCGAGAACACGGACGAGATGATCGACACCAGGATTGATGTTACTAGGATACCTGCTGGATCTGGTAAGAATCAATATTAAAAAAATAATTAAATATTAGTTTAAAAAATAGGTTATATACCTAACACTATAGATGTATAGTGTTTATAAACTGCCACGGGGGTAATCGTTCCGCTGTGTGCGGCTGTCTGCGCTCATGCGCATGCGCACCCCACACTAAATAACACTTTGTTGTGCTTTTTATCCTTTTTTTTATCACTCAGAACTGTTTCCGAATCCTGAAACGTTGCTCGTTCTTCTCCATAGGAATCTACACCTTGGAATGAGCAAATAGCTTCACTTTTAATTTTATTGTTGACGTTCAAAAGTGCCTTTCTGGTCTAATTGAAATAAATGATTGACTTTGACTTTGAAGTAGTTTGCCTTTGCAAACATTACGCATTGATCTACTTGACGAAATTATTTTCGTATTTTTTTTTTCTTTCTCAACATGAGACAGAATTACTTACTATTCAATCAAGTACCGTTGTTGAATATAGTATTGTTTATCCTATAGACACGCCACCTTGCTTGAAAATATCTCACAACACATTCGAGACTATGGAGAAAGCGAACTGGGAGTTCCTGCGACTGTCGCTACCAGTCATCTGCCACAACGAGTTTATAGAGTAAGTTTATTTATTTCATACTAAATCAACAGCTACATAGAAAAATACAATTAAGTTTGTAATCTCCAACCCGCATTCAGCAAGCCTGGTGATTAGTGCTCAAACTTCCGTGTGAGACGAGGTCTTTGCTCAGCAGTGGGCATTTATATGCTGTTGATGATGATGATGGTGAGCAGAAACATAGTAATATTGAGCCACGTACTATAAGTTCCACATAGTAGGTCACATTTTAGATATTATTCTACGAGTCGGAATTCAATATATGTTATGTTATGTTAATATTAATATTTACGCTCCAACAGTGAGGCAGAAAAAGCCAGGCGCTGGGTGGAAATCAAGGAACGCCAGCAGATTCTCATGAAGGAGGCGGTGGAAGCTCAGATGCCTGCTCACATCGACCAGATCATGAGGAGTGGCTTCACCATGAACGATATTAAAGGTATGACAGACATGTTTTATGGGGAATGCTTTTAAAATTCCATATTATCTCTTTTTGTTCTAAATAAGTCCTTATTGTTTTTGTTACCCCCTACGACTTGATAAGACAGATATTTTCAATTAAAAAGTGAATGGTTTTCATTCGATAAGGCTCAAATGAGTAGTATTTTGTTAACATTTAATTTAACTCAGTAAAACTAATTTATTCTGCAGTTTGTAAGTAAAATGACAAAGCGTCAAAGTAAACAATATTGATTTGAATTATATACACAAAAGTAAAGAATTAAATGTTTCTTTTTTCTAACAATAGTTGTAATCAACCTCTCTAGTCATTGGGGGAATCCTATGTTTAGCAGTGGATGTCCTGTGGCCGATATGATGATGAACCGCTCTAGGTTGATCTTGCATGAATAAAACATAAACAAAAACGATTAAAATAGTAAAAACTATTTTGTCAGCGTTTTTCTGGAGCGGTCTATCACACCCATCACAAAAGCACTTTTGAAATTTAATCTTCTGTCAATGTTACTACTATTCTGCTTACCCCGTTTAGCGGCAATCGGCCAGATCGTATTTACTTAGGCACTTTCTCAACCTCAAGATCATATTTTGACATCGGCTTACTCACGTAATAATTTGACGAGGAACTCGACTAGTTTGAAGCCATGCTAGAGGCGCATATTCATGAGCAGCATTTCGCGACCCGCGACGCGGCGTCAGTTGCCGCGTCGCGCCTCTACCATGGCTTGAAACTAGTCGAGTTCCTCGTCAAATTATTGCGTGAGTAAGCCAAAAACATAATAATTTATTTAGTATGTCTCACGAAAGTTACAATACAAATATATTTTGACATCATTGAAAGTACCTGGCTTATCGAATCTAAAGTAAATAAACTATAGCATAGCACCCCGCAATGGTTTATGTTTATAGAGTAGCTTTCTCTTTGTATCTTAATATGATTTGCACCATGGACCCCTACCCTGAAGGTGTGTGCAATGTAAATACACTGGTTTATTTGGAAATTATTCGGCACATGTTTTTGTAATCCAAAATTGCACAAAATTATTTTCCTCTGTAACACCCACACTTATAGTAGGTAAGTAATGCGGCATGGTTGCTCATAGCATTATGCAATTTATCTATTAGATGAGCAGTGTTCATTAAGGCTAAATTGACCTGTGAGGTTAAATGTTAATAGGCAAAATCAAAGCATTGTTTAGATATAGAGGCAAGTCCCTTATCGCCGGACGGCACCTAACGCCGGACACATTATCTCGATAACTAATAACGCGAGCGATTCAGTTTTTAGGAGGAAGTCGCCAAGTGGCAGACACCTAATATTTTTAGTAAAAATTGAATTGCTCGCGTTATTAGGTATCTAGATAATACAAGTGTCCTGCGTTAGGTGCCGTCCGGCGTTACGGGACTTTCCCATAATACACAAACCTTTAGATCCATCTAAAGAATATATGTCTGTAAAAAATAGGAATCATTCACATCTGGCGAAAGGAACAGAATAGTAGACCGGTTCGTCAATTCGAAATTTGAAAGTGAGCTCTATCGCATTCTCGCCCGTCATTGGTCGAGATCATTCTCGCAACCAATAACGTGGCGAACCGCGATCGAGTTGACTTTCGGATTAAAAGTTACAGAATTGCATAGCTGTTTCGTGGTCTTTCGCACCAAAATATTAAAATCTTTCAAGACAATTGCACACACCTGCCCCAAAAAAACCTATATGCTTTTCACCTTGTTTTACCCCATCCTGCTGTAGGTTTGCACTACGAGGACAATCAGGAAGAGGTCCCAAGTTCGAAGGTCAAGCGGCAACCGTCGAGACCTCCACGTAAGGGTTCGATGACCAGAGGCGTGTCTATACAAAATTACAATAATTTACAACCAGGTTATTTATACGCTTTTGATATTAACGCAAGCTTTGGTGTTGTCAAATCATTTCTGTTGTTCGCTTTTTTGTCGTTTCTGTCATTTTGGGTAGGATTTTGAGTTACTGGTGACAGGTAAGTGCTATTGAAATGGTCTTTGGATTCAATTTAAACAATATGGGATGGATTGAAAAGGTTTGGTCCTAATTGTTATGCAAATGAGTAAAATAGTTGGTTAGGGCAATCAGAAATGAGCCGCGGAGGACTTAAAGAGTTGCCGGGTCTCCAGCTCGAAGTGCAGGAGTAGGAACGGGGTAGTTTTTAGTCAGCATAAGTCTGACACTCCCTCTCGCCTCACGCGGGCGGGAGAAGCCATTGTATAACTCCCCCCCCCCCCTTAAAAAAGGGTAATCAGAAAACTACAAAGATAAATATGTAGTTCGGAAAGGATAAAGAGCGAGATAAAAAATTGATAGGTATGGAACTACATAACATCACGCCGTTTATCCCGGAAGGGGTTAGCAGTGGTGTACATTACGGTGCACGTAATGCCACTGTACAATGTAACAACCACTTTTTACTATTTATGTTATAAGTCCCATGTAATAGGGGGTGAGCCTATTGCCATATATTGTGTACAATTCCAGACTTCGTGCTACGACTGAATTTTTTTTAAAACCCCAGTAATAGTTTGCCCGATCCGGGAATCTAACCCGAAGAATCGACCCCTTGCCCGGCAGTGGCACTTGCGACCACTCGGAGATATAGAACTAGACATTATAAAAATGGAAACAACACCAAACTATAAATAATAACACTACACGCATTACCGCTGAATTAAAACACTTACTGCCATCGTACTAAGATCTCTTTTTCTTTAAACTCACGACTAAAATAACCTAATTTTTCAAAATAACTCTGTACTTCTCTTCTTCACTTGAGCACTGTTTTTGCTTGTTAGGATATATTTCGATGCTTTTCTATCTTAATGAGGTTGCTCGAAAAGGTTACTCAACTAATTTCGAGGTACACCAGGGGCCTATGATCTCTAAACTATCTTGTTCTTCAAATCTATCTAATTCGTAATGTTTTATAGTTCGATTCTCCTGTTGGTATTAATGTCTTGTATAGTAATTTAATAAGAAATTTAATGATAAAGTCCACCATTTTAAATAAACTGAATCCCCCCCCAAGTGACCAAATTCTGGAAATGACGGGTTACAACGTCAAAGCATAGCCGGTACAATAATAATAGATTTGATTTTATTAATGTAATTAAAGCTAAAATTAATGCTATCTCTAATTATTATAATCTACAAAATAAAATAATGCGACAAATACGCATGTGACTTAACTAAAAGGAAAATAATGGTCCTTCGATCCGCATTTCTTTTTTTACATCTTTCAAATGTATATTTTGGTACAGGTCAAGTAAACGGTATGCATCGGTCGACCAGTGAGGCTGAGATGGCTAAATACGAGTTGGGTGCACAAAACTTGAGCCCTGATGATAAGAAGGATAAACGTGGACGGTCACCTTTCAAGTAAGTTTGTTTTTTTTTATTATATTTGTCTTGTAACCATCTCGTGTGGATTTATAATAACTATCGTGAGACATACTAAATTAACTAAAAATCGCGGGTTACTCACGTGAATGATGTAGGCTGCGCGACATCACCGCGACCGCGTACGCTGCTCATGAGAAAGAGCCCCTCTGTAGTTCGAAACTAGTAGAGCTTTTCTCAGTATATTCACGTGAGTAACCCGCGATTTTTAGTTAATCTGTTATTCTGTTAATAGTTAATCTGTTAGGGAGTTTTTAAATGTAACGAGTGAATCTCACTTCTAAAAAAGTAAATATACGAACATATATTTTTATACATAGGCACAATAGGTACCTGGATAACGATGATAGTCTTTCCTCTGTGTGTTTTTTCTAAAATTGAAACCTAGCTAGATTGATTTACATATCGATCTCAATACGAAATTCAAAGAGATTCGTTGCAGCCTTTCCGAGGTCGTTGATACATACATATATAAAAGAATTTCTCATTTAAAGGTATTAGATATGTATCTCTAAACTGATAGCCTTGTTGGTCCCGCGTCTTCAAACGCGACTGTCAAGCAAAAAAGGTTCGATGCTCAGGTCGTGTAAAGTGTGCTGAGCTTTTACGACTTTTCATAATTTGTTTATCTTTATGCAATTTTATTTTATGCTTGCAAATAAACAAATTATGAAAAGTTGTGTGTACTTACATATATAAGTACTCCTTTACTGAATACTATTTCTCGGCTATTTCCCTAAGAATGTCAAAACAAATATTTAACACGAAATATTATCAACCCAGGTTCTTCAGAAGCAAACGAGGTGAAAGTAGCGACCGTGCCAAGAGCCGTAAGTCCAAGACACCAGATCCATTCAGTGACACCGAAGTATCCCCTGAACGTGGACCTCGAAGACCAAACCCTCAAATCAAAGTGTCGCAGGTATGTAAACCCTGTTACAAAGACATATGGACCATTTTGCATCGTTCTTTTTATTTAAAATTGGACACACGAATCCTTATTTAAAACTAAGGTGATCAAAAAGGTTTAATTGTAAAAAGTTTGGCTTTAATTGTTCGTTTTTTAATAATTTTATTTTTGGAATAATTAACTAAATTTTTTGGTGTTATTAAATGTCTATACGTCAATTTTATGTCAAAGAAACCGACCATTAACGTAAATCTCATTGTAGATATCTTGAGTCTCTGTCAAACCTCATAGAGAGAGGTAACACCATGATAATCTCCATTAAAAAATAAAAGTTAGTAAATGAAATAAGATTCCCTAAAACATCTTAGTTTTAATAAAATAAAATATCAAAGTAAAAAGTGCCGATTCGGAATTAATCAAAAAGAATAAGGAATAAATATGATTCCTAACTTATTTATATTTTATCACGTGTCAGAAAAAGTTATCCACTACCTACATAATAAAACCAAACCACTATTTCCTACACAGATTTGATGTATGTTGTTTATTTTCAAAAAAATAAATGTACAAAAGGACTGAACTCAATTCTAGTTACATCAAAGCGATGTTTTGGTCCTTCGATCCCAACACATTACCAGCATTTTGTCTCATAATATTTTCATATGATTTTGTTAATTTCTCACAAGGCGAATCAAAGATATAACGGCATGAACGCGCGCCCTAGTCGGGCCAACTTGTATGGAAGCCAAGTTGGTCTCAACGTAAGTCCTCACAAAACCCTGTTTTGAACTAACAAAGCATCTATTCTTCATTGGTTTTTCTTACTAACTAAATATTACTTCTCGTAAGAGATTTATACATTATAATCTACTACTCTCTATCGACGCCAATACTTTGACATTGATCAATGTTCGTATTTTGAAATGACCAGACCCCAATGAATAACAACAAGTCAATACATATATGTATGTCGCAGTCGACTTGTATAATCCACCGTATTATATTACGGCGAGCCGTTAAGCAAACCAGGGCCGTTTTGTAATACAACGGCTGAACGATTAGCTGAATTGAATACGGCTGAGTCAAAATCAGCCAAATAGTTTTCGGAGCTACGCGATATGCGGTTAAAAATGTTCAGTTTGCAGAAAACTACCTAAATTCTTTGAGACCAACAGGGTACTTGAGGTTTTGTGCGTCTCATTTTAAAATCGAAAATTGTTTCAACATACATATATAAGTATGTACAATATAAATTATAGAAATGTGGTTTCAATTTACTAATGCCAATGTAGAGATTTTTAAATTAGTCCTAACTTTAGTTAAAATTGAAAATTGTATTTATTCTTACAAGCCTTATACTTTTAGTTCTTAGTTCTATTACCATTATATTTACTATCATTACTCTATTCACTCTATTTTTCTTCCTCTCTCCCTCTCTCTTCGCAACGATGATGACGTCACAGTCCAACGCTCAGATGGCGACGCCTACGCAAGACAGGAAACAAATGACTACGAGCACTCTTGCGCAGTCCACGACGGAAACTGTTGGCAATGAGATCTTCGACGCTGAGTGCTTGAAGCTCATCAATGAATACTTTTATGGAGTTAGGTGGGTTTTACTTTTTTAATTCTTTTTTTTTTAGTGAGGTACCTTTGTACCCTAACAAATGTAGTCAACTTATTTATACTACCACTGTTCAATCCTCGAGAACCTAACGGGTAACCTGGGCTCCTGCTCTAACTTCTAAACGCTGTAATGTCGCACACAAGTCTTGGGTTCAAAACTGCATTATTGAATTTTGTGAATTGCTTCATGAAATTATAATGTTTGTAGAATTCGATTTGTAATACAGGAGAAGTTTAATATCCATTTTCTGATTAAAAAAAACTCTGAATCGTGTCACATAACTAAATGTAAATGCACTATCATTAGAAGCATACAGTGCATGACTGCACTGTTAGCGCGGTGGCTAGGCAACTGGTTGCCGCGCAAAGTGTCGCGGGTTCGATTCCCGCACATTGATCCACAGATTGTTGTCTCGGGTCTGGGTGTCATGTGTATGTGATATTGTGTGTTTGTAAACGCACCCACGACACAGGAGAAAATCCTAGTGTGCGGCAACGATTTATTTAAAAAAATAATAATATCAAAAATGTCTTATTTCCAGGATATTCCCCGGTCAAGATCCGACACATGTGTACATAGGTTGGGTGACGACTCAGTACCATCTTCACTCCAAGGACTTCAACCAGAGCAAGGTGACCAAGTCATCGGTTATCATCACCGATGATTACGACAGAGTTGTCGAAAAGTGAGTTTTGACCCTTATGTAATAAAGTTTAAATTAGTGTGACTTCTAATTTCTATGCACAAAAAACCAGTTGGTTATTGTTTAACTTTTATTGATCACAGTGATGAAGAAGTGACATCACATGTCAAGCCAGTAATGATACATTTAATACTCGGATGTTTTAGTTTTTAAGTTCGCTTCCATAAGATGTTAATATCATTGTCTACCTAATAGGAATCAATGTAAAAATGACAAAACATCAGCTGGATTGGGATACAAGAAGAAAAAATAAATATTTTGCCTCACCTTTAAAATAAATAGGCGTCATAATAATGTTTTATGTAAATCAATATACTATCCAGAATCCAATCATTTGAAAACACGATAAATAAATGTCCACGTTCCACGCAAAATGATCCAAATCACAAAAAGCGCAAGATAGAATATCTCGGTCACGTACTGAGACATGACAAATACATGCTGCTTCATGTTATAATGATGGATAAGGTGGAAGGGAAGAGAAGCGCTGGGCGAAGGCAAAAGTCGTGGCTGCGCAATATTCGGGAGTGGGCTGGTATCAGCTCTGTGGAGCAACTTTTCCGCCTGGCCAATGACAAGGACCAATTCAAAAACCGCAATGAAGTGGCACCATAAGAAGATGATGATAAATAAATGTTAATTTGATTATTGTTCTCCTCGTTGATTTGTTAACTGCCTCGTTGGCCGAGTGGTCGCAAGTGCGAGTGCCGGGCAAGGGGTCGATTCTTCGGGTTAGATTCCCGGGTCGGGCAAACTACTACTGGGTTTTTAAAAAAAATCTCAGTAGTAGCACGGAGTCTGGAAATGTGCTCGGTATATGGCAATAGGCTCACCTCCTATTACATGGGACTCATAACATAAATAGACAAACGTGGGTGTTACATAGTACAGTGGCATTAAGTGCCGAGTGTGCACCTCTGCTTACCCCTTTGGGGATAAAAAGGCGTGATGTTATGTTATGTTGATTAATGTTTTTCCAGTGTAAACCGTCAATCCTGCTACATGGTGCGTGCTGACGAGCTGTACAACGAGGTGATGGCTGAAGCCACAGCTAAGGGAGCGTCCCAAGGCATGTTCATTGGGTGCTCCGTGGACACCTCTACTGGCACTGTCTCCTTTACTTGTGAGGGAAAGGATACTAGCTTTAAATTCAAGGTGAGTGTTATGATTATGAAGTAATTGATGATCAGTGAGTGTTTTGGATATAAGTGCAAATGTTATCAGTTTTTAAATTATATTTATAATTCCGTATTATATTATGAAACCAATCTTAATGTTGATTCAATTTCAATCCAATAAAATCTTAATAATAGGATAGTTTCCTAAATTTCTAGTTTAATGTCCATCTGGTAGATTAATTTAAAACATTGGACACGTATTTATTTATTTCTCGCGACTATCGCGATACTTTCGACGATATATTAATTTGAAATATCGTGTGACGTCATAACGTGTTATATTTTATAGCACGCTGTGACGTAACAATCCTCACACATTAAATTATTAAATTATTATTATTATTCCTGACAACTTAACGCCATTTCATATCAATATTGTAACTTCATACGAAAAAAAAAATGTGTCTAATATTTTTTCATTACCGAACTTACAGACTAATTAGATTTTTAATTTTTATACCCCGGCAACTACCCTATTATTCAATGTCAACACTATCCAACACTAATCGTTAATAAAATAACGTTCAGAGACATTCAGAGTACGAAACATAAATTCAAACTCAATACCATTTAGTTCATGCAATATTCACGCAATACTAATGCAATGGGCGCTAGTGTTGTTACTCAAGAGTCGATCAATCAGAATTAGATTCAAGAAGCCCCTTGATCAGATCATTTTTACTTAACCTATTTGAAAAACAACAGACAAGACATCACAAGATTGCCTCGTTGGCCATGTCGGAAGTGGGAATGCCGGGCAAGGGGTCTCGAGTTCGATTCCCGGGTCGGGCAAAGTATTAATGGGTTTTTTTAAAAAAAATCTCAGTACTAGCACGGAGTCTGGAAATGTGCCCGGTTTATAGCAATAGGCTCACCCCCTATTACATGGGACTTATAACATAAATAGTGAAAAGTGGGTGTTACATTGTAGATACAGTGGCATTATGTGCCGTAATGTGCATCTCTGTCTATGCTATACGTTCTGCCTACCTATGCTACATCACAAGAAGCAAAATCTAACCAACTTTTCAACTTGTTCCACCAGATGGAACCAGAAACGAAGCTGTTCCCAGCAATCTTCGTGGAGGCCACGTCGAAGGAGATCCTCCAGATAGAGCTGGGCAGGTCTACCACCAGCCTGCCTCTGTCGGCCGCAGTGCTCCCGACCAGTGACAAGCACGTCATCCCCCAGTTCCCCCCCAGGTTGAAAGTGCAGTGCTTGAAGCCACATCAGTGGGCAAGAGTGAGTACCCGAGTAGATTAAATATATTGCAGAGCCTATAAATTCCCATGGACTGTTGTTATTACCTACGATTTAAATTTAATTCGATAAAATATAAATTATACTGCCTGACTGCCTCGTTGGCCGAGTGGTCGCAAGTCCGACTGCTGGGCAAGGGGACTCGGGTTTGATTCCCGGGTCGGGCAATTTATTTCAAAAAATCTCAGTAGTAGCACGGAGTCTGGAATTGTGCCCAGTATATGGCAATAGGCTCACCCCCTATTACATGGACTCATAACATAAATAGTGAAAACTGGGTTGTACAGTACATTGTACAGTAGCATTAAGTGCCGTAATGTGCACCTCTGCCTACCACTTCCGGGGTAAAAATCGTGTTGTTATGTTAATTTTTTTAATGCAGAGAAGATACATTAAATCAGAGTATTAAATTAGTAAACGGGTCGACATTCTACCTATAAGAAATAACTCCAATATCGAATTTTTCAGGTACCGAACCAATCTTTACAAGTACACGCTCTCAAGTTGTCAGACATCCGCGGTTGGTCCATGCTGTGTGAGGATGCAGTGTCTATGCTAGCTTTGCATATACCAGGTAATGTTTATTGATTTTGAATAATAATGACGGCAAAGGTGATGGTGGTGATGGTAATTATTTAAGTGTACCAGAGTGATACCACGGCCGAGCAGAAAACCGGAGTGGAACAACCGAAGCGTTGTATTTCGTCGTGTAAGTGAGGTTACCGGAGGCCCAATTACCCCCCCCCCCCCTTTTTTTTCACCCCAATCCCTGGATCCCCAACGATCCTCAAATTCCTAATTTCCAAAACGCCGGTAACGCACTTGTAACGACTCTGGTGTTCCATTTATCCATGGGTGACGCCGATTGATTACCATCAGGTGATCTGTCTGCTCGTTTCTTGGTTTGTCCCATAAAAAATATAATGGTGTAGGTGATGATAATAATACTTTGTTATAAAGATTACTGTTTTTGTCCACAGAGGAAGACCGTTGCATAGACATTCTAGAACTAATAGAAATGGACAAACTTCTAAGTTTCCACTCACACACACTCACTTTGTATGCCGCATTGTGTTACCAGAGTAATTATAGGTAAGGACTATGTTTGATAAATCTGTGTTTTTCATTGTCTTCTGAAATTGAGTTGAGTACCGAAATGAGAGTATTTTAAATTCCAAATCATGATACCAACGTTAATACGTTCAATAAGATATCAAGATAAACGCTAACTCACAATATTAATTTTACAAAAAGACAGAGATCGACGAATCGCGAAAGATGAATTACACGCAGAATTTTGATTTAACCCAGTGTTTTCTTGAATAAATGTTCAAGAATTTTCCTAATTTAAATTATTTTTATCTCAAAGAAGCTTTTGAATTATTTTAGAATTATTTTTATCAATAAAAAGTTTAGCCGAGTGATAACGGCCGAGTAGTATACATTTACCACGATTTACTAAATGTGCACTAAATCTAATGGACAACACATTAATTGACAGAGACTGTATTTTTATAAACTACGACCAATTCGCGTGCTAGTAAATTATTCGTGTGTCCCGCACGGAGCAACACTTTGTGTGATCCACAGATAGTTGTTCCGGGTCTGGGTGTCATGCGTATGTGAACTTGTATGTTTGTAAACGTACCCACGACACAGGAGGAAATCCTAGTACTGGTCAACGTTATTTAAAAAATAAATATTCCAGCAATGAATTAACACAGGCCTTTGATGAACTAAACTGAGACATTCCATTGTGTGGGTGCGCGCAGGGCTGCGCACGCGCTGTGCACGCACGTGGACCAGAAGCAGTTGCTGTACGCGATCCAGTCGCAGTACATGTCGGGCCCGCTGCGGCAGGGCTTCTACGACCTACTCATCGCGCTGCATCTCGAGTCGCACGCCACCACCATGTATGTATCAATAATAGTATAATTAATGTTAATAGGTAGATAACTATTTTTTATTTCAATGTCCGTCTGGTAGAATATATAAAAACATTACACTGTCACATTGTATATTGTCTAATGATTTAAAATAATCTACCAGACCGGCATTAAAATAAAAATTAGTCATCTACCCTATTGTATCATCATTGATTTTTTCATTTTCTCAAATTATTTTTTGATCTTTCTATTTTGGCTTTGCATCATAAAAAGCACCACCAGTACAACCTAAAATAGGAATTAACCTATTACTCTTTAATTTATAAAAAATGAAACGTATCAATTTGTCAAAAAAGCATTATAATTTATTAAATTCAAGACCATGCCACGACATTGTACTTTTCTCCTTAGGTGAACTCCAAAAAAGTTTTTATTTATCAAACTTAACAATATGACATCTTACAGCTAATATTCATACAATGCCATATTCATATCAGTAAAATTCTCATTGCCGTTCTACTTCCCCCAGGGAGGCGTGTAAGAATGAGTTCGTGATCCCGCTGGGCCCGGAGCTGAAGGCGCTGTACGAGGAGCCCGACATGGGACACAGTCTGCGCTCGCTGCAGACTGAGAGCGTTAGGCCGCAGATGAAGATGACTGATATAGCGTGAGTTGTGAACTTATAACATAACATAACATCACGCCTTTTATCCTCGAAGGGGTAGGCAGAGGTGCACATTATACCACTCTACAATGTAACACCCACTTTTCACTATTTATGTTATGAGTCCCATGTAATAGGGGGTGAGCCTATTGCCATATACCGGGCACAGTTCCAGACTCCGTGCTACTACTGAGAATTTTTTAAAAACCCAGTAATACTTTGCCCGACCCGGGAATCGAACCCGAGACCCCTTGCCCGGCAGTCGCAATTGCGATCACTCGGCCAACGAGGCAGTTGTGAACTTATTTTACTTTATTGAGTGAATTAACTACAATTCTTTGAATTCTAATTTGAACTATAGCCGTAATGTGCACCTCTGCCTACCCCTTTCGGAGAATAAAAGCGTGATGTTATGTTATGTAAGAAAATCATGTGGAACAAAGTCTTCGTAAGAAAAACAATATCTTATTCCGTATTCTAATCGAAAAGATTAGAATAAAATACTTCAATCCGTCCAAAACACATAATATCGTTAGAATCATCTTAATAACCATTCTACTGCCTTCAACATAAAGTCTATTTTCCGGTTTCAGTGAAAGCATAACAGACATTAGCAACCTATACTCCCCGTACTTCCCGCTGGAGGTGGTCCGTGAGTTCGTGATGCAAGCTCTGGCGGAGGCCGTGGAGACCAACCAGGTTCATAACAGGGATCCTGTAGGAGGCAGCAATGAAAACCTGTTCCTGTAAGTACTAATTGATTGTTATTTTGAAGCTAATATTGTATTTTATGGTACTACCGGTATTTTAAGGTACTACTAGCCTGCCAAAAGTATTACTGGGATTTCCATAAAATTTACAGTATTAGCACGGAGTCTGGAATTGTGCCCAGTACATAGCAATAGGCTCACCCCCTATTACATGGGACTCATAACATAAATATGTACACCTCTGCCTACCCCTTCGGGGATAAAAGGCGTGATGTTGTACTAACCTGCAACTGTCCCGAGCGTACGACGCGTCGCGTTCCGCGCGCGCCTCAAAGAGCCATCAGACCACTACGGATGGGGCCCAATAGGGCTGATACCGATACGGAGTCGCGGAGAACCTAACGGGTTACCGAGGCTCCGGCTCGACGTGCAGGAGAAGGAACGGGGTGGTTTTTAGTCAGTAATAGTCTGACACTCCCTCCCGCCTCACCCAGGCGGGAGTAGTAATTCGATGACTTTCCCCTCTTAAAAAAAAACTGTCAACAGACTAACCTGTAAATTGAATTTTGTATGTATCTTTTTCACCATATCTCACAATTCTCTATCGATTCATGGCATTAAAGATATAATTAAAATAAGGAACATTATTGCTATAAGAATAGGATAGTTTCGTAAATTGTATTTTAATGTCCGTCTGGTAGATTAATTTAAAACATTAGACACGTATTTATTCTTTTCTCACAAAATTAAATACTTTCGACGATATATTAATTTGAAATATCGTGTGACGTCACTGCGTGCTACATTTTGTAGCACGTTGTGACGTCACGACCTCCCACTCCTAAACTTAACACCATTTTATCTAAGTATTGTAACTTTATACGAGGAAATAAAAAATATCTTATTATCTAACTAACGTACTAATAAGAATTTTAATTTCCATACCCTGGCAACTACCCTATTGTTGTTACTCAACATATTTCAGGTTCTGGTTTTCATTAATAGATTTATCATACACTCACTACTGTATACTTTAGTACTGCCATTTTAAAACAAAATTGATATTTGATATAATTGTGTATATATTTCAGGCCATTGATAAAGCTAGTAGACCGACTACTCTTAGTCGGAATGATGCGCGATGAAGATGTTGAGAAGCTGCTCATTATGACCAACCCTGAAACGTGGGACCCTTCGTTTGACAAAGGTAATAAAGACTAATCGAAGTCATTTGGCTATATAATAATAACAATTTTCCCATCTATTAACGTTTAAAGACATAAAATGGATTATAAAGTGTGTATAAATGTGGGAAAGAAAGAAAGGAAGAAAAAGCCTTATTTCACGCGCCTTATATGGCTCGCGTGTGTACGTTGACTGCACGCAACACAATTTTATTTATTTTTTATTTTTTTTATTCAACGGTTATGTGCATATGTCTCTGTATACGCAACAAAACCCGGAACATTTTTTTTACTTCACTTTAATTTAAAAATGTTATCATTCTTTGTATTTTACCTATAGACATTCTGTGTATTTTACTGATAATGCTTATTCGTTATTTCAGAAGGTAAAGACGAACACCGCAAAGGTCTGCTTCACATGAAAATGGCTGAAGGCGCAAAGTTACAGATGTGTTACCTACTACAACATCTGAACGACATACAACTGAGACACAGGGTCGAAGCTATCATTGCGTTTGCGCATGACTTCGTTGGAGATCTACAGACTGATCAGTTGAGGTAAAATTATAGATTTATAGGTATTTTTATATCCCTCAGTGATTGAGCGATCTCAAGCTAACTACATTTAATTAGGGAAGGGTATACTTTTTAGTATTTAAAGTTGCTAAGTTGTAGTGTTGATAAAATCATGTTGAAATATATATAATTTTACTAGCGGACCCAACAGACGTTGTCCTGCATATCCACTTGAATGTATAAACAAAAATTCTTGCAAATTAGTTCTGCAGCCGTTTAGGATAGAAAACCTAAACGTCGACTGCAGCGCCATCTGCCGGGCTGATTTGTGAATCATTCCCAGATCCCCTTGAACACACACAAAAAATTTCATCAAAATCGGTCCAGTCGTTTGAGAGAAGTTCAGTGACATACACACTCACAGAAGAATTATACATATATATAAAGATATGCGAACTTTATCGTTTAGATAATTCCAATCGATATTTTAGAGCATGTACACAAAACTGCGATGCGACATCGCATCGCAATAATGTGCTACCTCCCTCTACGCATCGCAAGAACTTGCGAATTGATTAGCATCGCGCATCAAAATCTTATCTTCCCAAAATATCCTTTGTTTCTTTTTCCTGTATCTCCTAAGCAATAACAGAAGTGCACACTTTTTTATGATCCATGCCGTGACCTAGTTTTCAATTTAAAATACATTTAGTACGGTTGACAGTCGTCTAAGGAATGGTCACTCTGGGAGACGCTTTGTCGCACGAAATCGCATCGCAGCAATTCCCATCGTATTTTTTTGCGTTGCGAATTCGCATCGCGTCGCAGTTTTGTGTACGAGCACTTAATATGATTTATCACAACTTTAATAAGTTCAAGCAGGTGCCTATAATTTTAGAAATATTTTTGGAATCCTCATAATTGACAATAGACTGTGCATTATATAATACTAGCTTTTACCCGCGGCTTCGCTCCCGTCACAAAAGGATAAAAGTAGCCTATACCAATACACACAGCGCCATCTATACCAATACTTTTGTTTTCCCTCGGGAATACCAAAATTTTTCGAGATAAAATGTACCCTATTATTTAATCCAAACTATTAACTTTACGTCTGCAAAAATTCAATGCAATCGGTTTAATAGTTACGGCGAGAAGTCGGAACAAACAAACTCACTTTCCGATTTATAATATTATATAGTAAGGTTTCAATCTATTTTACAGACGTTACACAGAGATCAAGCAGTCAGACCTGCCTAGCGCGGTAGCAGCTAAGAAGACGAGAGAGTTCCGTTGCCCACCCAGAGAACAAATGAACGCAATCTTGAGTGAGTATTTATTAAATTATTATGTTTTCGGCTTACTCACGTAGTAATTTGACCCAGAAGTCGACTAGTTTGAAGCCATGCTAGAGGCTCATATTCATGAGCAGCATTTCGCGACGCGGCGACTGTCGCTGCTCCTGAGTACTCTAGTCCGCGGGCCCAGCGCGCCCTCCGCCGCGCCCCCCGCGCCCCCCGCGCACTGTCCCCCACTCGTGGTACCGGCGCCGGCGGCGCGCGTGGCACTGTTGGCACACTAGACTCGCCCGTCGGCAGCTGCGTTGGTGTTGGTTTCGAATCCCGGGTCGACAGTCCCGGGTACTTGCCACCGTCGTGGTGAAAAGTGGGTGTTACATTGTACAGTGGCATTAAGTGTCGAAATGTGCACCTCCTGGATAATTGGGCCTCCGGTAACCAAAACTCAAAACTCAAACTCTTTATTTGCATGTCATAACCTCACTCACACGACGAAACACAACGCAAGCGTTGCTTCACGTCGGTTTTCTGCTCGGCCGTGGTCTCTCTCCGGTCGAGCCGGCCCATTCGTGCCGAAGCATGGCTCTCCCACACTTTTTAGTTTTTCTCGTCTCATACGTTAAAATAGATACCAAAATATTTTTTCTGTCATTGATCTTCAAACGCTAGAATTAATATATCTATCTCTTTTCCTCCTCAGGTTTCAAGCACTTGGAAGAAGAAGACAAAGAGAACTGTCCGTGTGGAGAGGAACTGATCGCCAGGATGAACGAGTTCCACGAGAGTCTGATGGCACATGTGTCGCTTAATGCTTTACAGGAACCGGATGGCACGGTAAGTAATTACGACACATACAAACATACATACATACGCTCACGCCCGTCTCCCATAGGGGATAGGCAGAGACTGTGGTACGCCAATCGCTACGGTTCTTACATATCTTTTTCGATTCATCAACAGTCATCAGTCTTTTCATGCATGCTCGTCGGTTAAGGGTACTTTTAATTTGGCCCTTCTTTAATTAATCGGTAATCTGGTCGATATATGACCGTATACGCGCCCTCTACCGACGATCCCATTCATATCCGCTCTGTATACTTCTATCGTAAATCTGCTTTCATCTTCTATACATGTCCAAATCATAAGGACTCATAAGTAATTACGAATTGCTATTAAAACAATATTAGACATAGATACAGTTCTTCACGCTACATCTTTTGTTGTATGATGAGCAGAATAGAATAAACGTGTCACCTTCCTCTTCACCTGGATATTCCAAGCTATTACACACTTAACAGAGCTTTCTTCTGTTTACAGGAGAACCAAGAACCTGAGGCGAAACCAGGTGCCTTTGGCAAGTTGTACAACATTATTAACACTGTGAAGGAACTCGAAGAAGAACCCAAGGTAATTTATAACCTGAAACATCATCATCCAACATCAAAATAAGATAAATTATTGTGTTTTCGGCTTACTCACGTAATAATTTGACGAGGAACTCGACTAGTTTCAAGCCATGCTAGAGGCTCATGTTCATGAGCAGCATTTCGCGACCCGCGACGCGGCAAATGTCGCGCTGCTACTGATGAAATCAAAATAAGAAATGTAATGTTAGGGAACAGAAATGAAAAGTTTAACATTGACTTTAGAAAGAAGTAGGTTTGTTGTCATTTTGATCTTCAATTAATATCTCTAAAATAGACCAATTGAAGTTCTATAGTCAGAATTTTAATTAGATTCCAGATTTGACAATAGCTACTTTCATTTTGTGAAATAATGATACCACATATAATAGTGTAGTGATGGACACAAAAATCGATAAACAATCAGTGTGTGTGTTTTATAATAAATGTTACAGAAAGTGACAGGATAGCGATAGCGATGACGGCGACAATTGATAAAATAACTTATTACCATAATACATCTATCTGTTTTATTTGTCATGTTCCTTCATGATTACATTTTTTTATTTATTTCACACACAATTATAAAAGAAAAGTCTCAGATCGTTAATTAATCGTCAAAACTAAATTATCGGTTCAGAAAAAATTAATTTCCTGATATACTTAGTTTACGAGAGTAAAATTATAAACGAGAAGAATCGATCCAGAAATATTGCATTTCCATATCGAATAATTTCGCAACGTCACTATTTAGTACTTGTCATAACGTTGCAACACTGAAATTGTCAAATCTGGAATCGAATTAAAATTCCGAGTATATATTTAAAGTGCTGTTGGGATACTAAAGGTACTGTTAAACATGCTCTAAGATGTCGCGGAGAACCTAACGGGTAACCGGAACTCTAGCTCGACGTGCAGGAGAAGGAACGGGGTGGTTTTTAGTCAGTAAGAGTCTGACACTCCCTCCCGCCTCACCCAGGCGGGAGGAGTCATTCGATGATTTTCCCCCGTTAAAAAAACATGCTCTAAGATAGCATGCTAAAATGCGTTCTATTGATGAGTAACCCGCGAATGTCTCACGATAGTTATTATAAAAACATGTTCAAAAATCGAACGCTTCTCGATTCATATAACCATGTATGAAATGAGCGTGCTAATTTTGAGCAACATTACGACACACATGCTACTAAGTGACAATTGGTCAATTGAAGCATGCATTCGTGCTTAAACTTAGCAGTACCTATCGATCTGCTACTACTTCTACTAATCTCCTAAGAAGTCCTTACTTTAAAAACTGTCTTCTTTCCCAGGCCATCGATGAGCCACCAAAGAAGACCCCAGAAGAGAAATTCCGTAAGGTCTTAATCCAGACCATCGTCAACTGGGCTGAGGAGTCGCAGATTGAAACTCCCAAACTGGTCAGGGAAATGTTCAGGTAAGTTCTGTCTACTGGAATAGATCGAGCCGACCCATTTGTGCCGAAGCATGGCTCTCCCACACTTACGGAGAGGAGGCTCATAGACCGCGAGTAAAATGTCATAAGCTGTTGATTATAATGGTACAAGATTTAAATGTATTTTAATCTTTTTTAAATGTTTAATTTTGTTACAACCAAGGTTCATAAAGTTCTATTTAAAAGTCTTTAATTTTTGTTCACTAAAATAAGAATGTTTATTTCGTTAGTAGTAGTTTCTTTTTTAGTAACTAAAACTCTATTGTTCTCGTTCATTTTTGTATTTATAGTTTTTTTTTTATCACTTAAGTAATTGCATGTTGGTTAACCTATAATTGGCGACTGTATAAGCCTAATACTTAATGTTACTTTCAAATCACTCAATGCTATGTATACAGAAGCTGTTGGTATACCTATTTGAATAAATAAATGTAGGAAGCAGCTGTTTTCAAGATAAGTATCTACTTTCAGTGCTCCCACAGTAGCTTGGTTCTTGACGTCGCCCTATTATCCTCTAATTTTTATAAATTTTATTAGAGTTGTAGTTATGCTATGCTAATGATGGATACAATGGGGTTGTCATGTCCTATACCTAGGATAAAAACCCCGTCCAAAATAAACTGAATAAAAAAAAAAGATAAGTATCGTTTTATTTGCCAAAACATCTGTAGGTTATAATAATACACACAAAATGAATGTTTACTTATAGATGTACAGTTGGTGCTGCATTGTTGGTGCGGTGGCTGGGCAACCAGCTGCCGTGCAATGTGTCGCGGGTTCGATTCCCGCACGGAAGAGCACTTTGTGTGATCCACAAATTGTTGTTTCGGGTCTGGGTGTCATGTGTATGTGAACTTGTATGTTTGTAAACGCACTCACGATACAAGGGAAAATGCTAACGTGGGGCGATGTTTTAAAAAAAATGTAAAGAAAATGCAGTATTAACTAAAATCGCGGGTTCCTCACGTCAATATACTGAGACAAACTCTACTAGTTTCGAACCACAGAGGGGTTCTTCCTCATGAGCAGCGCTCGCAGTAAATGCTGGCCAGTAGGCTGCGCGATATCGCCACGACCGCGCACGCTGCTCATGAGGAAGAACCCCTCTATGGTTCGAAACTAGTAGAGCTCTTCACGTAAGTAACCCGCGATTTTAGTTAATTTAGTATGTCTCACTATAGTTATTATAAAAACATGTACAGTATTTTTTGTATGAACATGCTAAACCATTACTGGTGTACAAATATTATAATACATAATTATATACAAAAATTACTCGTTTAAAGGACATTAGATAGATACTTCAATATTTCTTCCACAGTCTCCTAGTCCGTCAGTACGACGCAGTGGGCGAGTTGATCCGTGCCCTGGAGAAGACATACGTCATCAATGCGAAGACCAAGCTGGACGTGGCAGAGATGTGGGTCGGACTCAGTCAGATTCGAGCTCTTCTACCTGTACAGATGAGTCAAGAGGAGGAGGAACTTATGAGGAAGAGGCTTTGGTAAGGAGATTATAATCTTATACTTCCATACATTTATTTAAAATCCTATAAAATTACATTTTAAATGCTTCTAAAAACAAAAATAGTATAAAAATAGGGCCCGATCAGTAGCGGGAGCATGGTCCAAGCTACCGGTGGTTAGGGCTCCTATTTTTATATTTTTAAATATGTTTTCTTTAACTAGCATTTAAACATATATTTTTAGAAAATTTTAAATAGTATATGGGATTAATAATAATGAGTTTATAGTTAGTAATTAAATTAATAATTAATACAATATGTTCCTAATAGACTAGATGATTATTTAGTTACGTATAAGTTAAATTCCTCTTAAATAAATAACTAAATGTGTATCTGACTGCACGGTCGGTGCAGTGGCTGAGCAGGTGGCTGCCGTGCAACGTATCGCGGGTTGTAACTCCGCACGGAACAATTCTTTTCGTGACCCGCATATTGTAGTTCCGACTCTCTCTCTCTCTCTCTCTCTCTCTCTCTCTCTCGCAGCTAATCTCCGTAACTACAAGTCTGATTTGAATAATTATTTTTGTGTTTGATAGCGCATTTATTGAGGATGGCTATAGGCTATAAAACATCACGCTACGACTAAGAAGCTGAGCAGAGCTAAGCAGAGATCGAACAACTCTTTGTGTGATCCACAGATTGTAGTTCCGGCTCTGGGTGGCATGTGTATGTGAACTTGTATGTTTGTAAACGTACCTACTACGACACAGGAGAAAATCCTACTGTGGGGCAACGCGATGTTTTGTTAACAAAAAAAATTAATTGTTTAAAATGTTTAAAGCGAGCATACATACATAACATCACGCCTTTTTTCCTCGAAGGGGTAGGCACATTATGCCACTGTACAATGCTACACCCACTTTTAACAGTTTATTTTATGAGTCCCATGTAATAGGGGGTGAGCTTATTGCCATATACTGGGCATAAAGCGCATAAAGCGAGTATATTATTGTATATATTATAGAGGTACTATAAAGTGTCTGTACTCAGTGCATACTTTTGTTTACAGGAAACTCGTCAACAACCACACGTTCTTCCAACATCCAGACTTGATAAGGTGAGAATTAAATAAGTACCTAACCCTTTAATTACCAATAAAAAAGAAATGAAAGTAGTAAAATTGTTGTAATTTTTAAATTATTTAATATCACTACTAAGATTTTATTTTATTTGATCACAAATATTTATATGCTCACGCTATAGTAATTCAATATAGCTTAAAACATAGCTTCTCATAGAAAATGAAACATTAATTAACAATAATACAAACGTAATGAATAAAATAATATTAACTATTACTAAATGAAAATATAAACAGCGATATAAATAACTATGAACTAAAATAAATATTTTTATTTTAGTTATTTATTTTTTTAAGGTGTAAATACACCTTAAGAAAAATATAATAAAAATGCTATACTTACATAGTATAAAACAAAGTCGCTATCCGCCGTCTGTCTGTCCCTATGTATGCTTAGATCTTTAAAGCTACGCAACGGATTTTGATGCGGTTTTCTTTAATAGATAGAATGATTCTTAAGGAAGGTTTATACATTATATGAATGATACATGTCTTTTGCACCCGTGCGAAGCCGGGGCGGGTCGCTAGTTCTTTTATAACCGCCCCCATGTGATGTCCTCAGAGTGCTCCGCGTGCACGAGAACGTGATGGCGGTGATGATGAACACGCTGGGCCGCCGCGCGCAGGCGCAGTCCGACGCGCAGCCCGCCTCGCCGCCCGTCGCAGAGGACAACAAGGAGAAGGTAAGGGGGCCGGGTACTGGCTGCCACTCCATTCTCACTTCTACTTGAGAACGTGATGGCGGTGATGATGAACACGCTGGGCCGCCGCGCGCAGGCGCAGTCCGACGCGCAGCCCGCCTCGCCGCCCGTCGCAGAGGACAACAAGGAGAAGGTAAGGGGGCCGGGTACTGGCTGCCACTCCATTCTCACTTCTACTTGAGAACGTGATGGCGGTGATGATGAACACGCTGGGCCGCCGCGCGCAGGCGCAGTCCGACGCGCAGCCCGCCTCGCCGCCCGTCGCAGAGGACAACAAGGAGAAGGTAAGGGGGCCGGGTACTGGCTGCCACTCCATTCTCACTTCTACTTGAGAACGTGATGGCGGTGATGATGAACACGCTGGGCCGCCGCGCGCAGGCGCAGTCCGACGCGCAGCCCGCCTCGCCGCCCGTCGCAGAGGACAACAAGGAGAAGGTAAGGGGGCCGGGTACTGGCTGCCACTCCATTCTCACTTCTACTTGAGAACGTGATGGCGGTGATGATGAACACGCTGGGCCGCCGCGCGCAGGCGCAGTCCGACGCGCAGCCCGCCTCGCCGCCCGTCGCAGAGGACAACAAGGAGAAGGTAAGGGGGCCGGGTACTGGCTGCCACTCCATTCTCACTTCTACTTGAGAACGTGATGGCGGTGATGATGAACACGCTGGGCCGCCGCGCGCAGGCGCAGTCCGACGCGCAGCCCGCCTCGCCGCCCGTCGCAGAGGACAACAAGGAGAAGGTAAGGGGGCCGGGTACTGGCTGCCACTCCATTCTCACTTCTACTTGAGAACGTGATGGCGGTGATGATGAACACGCTGGGCCGCCGCGCGCAGGCGCAGTCCGACGCGCAGCCCGCCTCGCCGCCCGTCGCAGAGGACAACAAGGAGAAGGTAAGGGGGCCGGGTACTGGCTGCCACTCCATTCTCACTTCTACTTGAGAACGTGATGGCGGTGATGATGAACACGCTGGGCCGCCGCGCGCAGGCGCAGTCCGACGCGCAGCCCGCCTCGCCGCCGTCGCAGAGGACAACAAGGAGAAGGTAAGGGGGCCGGGTACTGGCTGCCACTCCATTCTCACTTCTACTTGAGAACGTGATGGCGGTGATGATGAACACGCTGGGCCGCCGCGCGCAGGCGCAGTCCGACGCGCAGCCCGCCTCGCCGCCCGTCGCAGAGGACAACAAGGAGAAGGTAAGGGGGCGCATTTTAAGTTCTACTTAAATATTGTGCCATCTCTGTCATTTTACAAACAATTTGTAGTGACAGAACTATACTTAAGCGCGACTTAAAATTCAATAGCGTTTAAGTTTTTTATACCTATTGGTAATTTCTAACATTATACTTGTTTTTTATAGGAATGAGAAAAAGTAATTAAATTCCAATTCCAGATTGTTATCCGGGTCTGGGTGTCATGTGTATGTTTGTAAACGCACCCACGATACAGGAGAAAATCCTAGTATGGGGAATTTTTTTTAATAATTAAGTATAGTAATTATTTAAAATGTATTCTCCCAGGACACATCCCACGAGATGGTAGTCGCCTGTTGTCGCTTCCTCTGCTACTTCTGTCGTACGGGGCGACAGAACCAGAAGGCAATGTTCGATCACTTCGACTTCCTGCTGGAGAACTCCAACATCTTGCTGTCCAGACCCTCGTTGAGAGGTTCCACGCCTCTAGACGTGGCGTATTCCAGTTTGATGGAGAATACTGAGCTGGCTTTGGCTTTGAGGTGGGTTTTGATTCATTATAACGGTTATAGATACCAGTAATTATTTTGTAAACTATTTAAAAAATACTATACTATTTTCAATCCCCTCTTTTTTTGAAGTCGGTTAGTTAATATGTACACTTAAATCTTCTATCTTCTCCTAAGTGTAACAAATCTTATACTATTATATAAAGCGGAAGAGTATGTTTTTTTGTTTGTTTGTTTGAACGCGCTAATCTCCGTAACTACAAGTCTGATTTGAATAATTGTTTTTGTGTTTGATAGCGCATTTATCGAGGATGGCTATAGGCTATAAAACATCACGGTACGACTAATCGGAGCTGAGCAGAGTTGAGCAAAGGTCGAACAACTCTTTGTGTGATCCGCAAATTGTTGTTCCGGGTCTGGGTGTTATGTGAATGTGAACTTGAATGTTTGTAAATGTATCCACGACACATGAGAAAAACACAGTGTGGGACAACGTTTAAAAAAAATTGCTACATCATTCAAAAATAAGCCCTATGTAACAAATCAATAGATTACAAATTACCTTTTATTACTTTTTAATAATTTCCAGAGAGCACTACCTAGAAAAGATAGCAGTGTACCTGTCTCGCTGTGGACTGCAGAGTAACTCGGAGCTCGTCGAGAAAGGATATCCGGACCTTGGGTGGGATCCAGTCGAGGGCGAACGTTATCTGGACTTCTTACGATTCTGTGTCTGGGTGAGTGAATATTTATCTTAATATTTTTAACCATCTCAGCGCTCTATCCTTACGTGAGTACGTGATGTTTTCCTTAGTTGTATTCCGGAATTAATATGTTTCTTTTCAGTACTTTATCACGTAGGGTTATCTCGCTGACATGGCATGTTCATGTTTGAACATGTATACATAAACAATGTTTTATACTAGCTTCTAATGTCGCCTTCGTCCGCATTTCCTGAATCTTCAGTCTTGTTTTTATTGCAGACTAACATAACATCATGTGTATTATCCGTGAAGAGGTAGGCAGAGGTGCACATTACAGCACTTAATGCCACTGTACAATGTAACACCCACTTTTCACTATTTATGTTATGAGGTTCATGTAATAGGAGGTGAGCCTCATGCTCAATCGTAGACCGCATCATCGCTTACCAGCAGTCGAGATAGTGGTTAAACGTCGGCCCATCAAACATAAACATAAAATCATAAAAAAACCTATTGTTATATACCGGGCACAATTCCAGACTTCGTGCTGAGATTTTTTTTTAAACCCAGTAATTTTTTTGCTCGACCCCGGAAATGAACCCGAGACCCCTTGCCCGGCAGTCGCATTTGCGACCACTCAGCCAATGAAGCAGTCCTTGCAGACTTTAATATGTATAAATCTATATTTGCTTAGTTTCATCTAAATCCTAAATAAGTAAGTGGTGTTTGTGTTAAAGAGTAATAAACAAACATGCTCACAAACTTTTGCTCTTGTATTAGGTACACTCAAAAACCTCTTTTTCGTATCGAAATCGATACATAAATATAAACGCAAAATACCAAACGAGATGGTGACCAAACGTCGCCACTAAGTATAGAAAAAAAAACAAAAAAAGTTTAACCTTTTTTTGACAATCACACACAATAGATACAAAATATCGTGTAACACGTAAAAACTACAAAAACCCTTTGTTTCTTCTTGTTTAGTGAAATAATAATAATAATCTTAATTTAAAACATTATTTATTACTTACATTTCTATATTTTTATCACTTAGGTTAACGGTGAAAGCGTAGAAGAGAATGCGAACTTAGTGATCCGTCTTCTGATCCGTCGTCCTGAGTGTTTGGGTCCCGCCCTCAGAGGAGAGGGTGAGGGTCTACTGAAGGCCATCGTAGACGCTAATAAAATGAGTGAGAGGATCGCCGACAGGAGGAAACTGAGGGAGATGGAACAAGAAGGGGATATTAATGTAAGTACAACCAAATAAGATAAAATCCATTCTTCACACCAAGAGTCGACGTAACATAACATCTCAGCCTTTTATCTCCGGGGGTAAGCAGAGGTGCACATTACGTCACTTAATGCCACTGTACAATGTAACACCCATTTTACACTTTATGTAATATAACGCACACAAGAATTGTATATTGTGAACCAAATTGAAAAAGAGTAACCTATAAAGTTTTTTGCTTGTTCTTCTCCATAGGAATCTACACTTTGGAACGAGCAAATAGTTTTACTTTAATAGACTGACTGACAGACGGACATTTTTTTAAAGTTTCATTATTTTATTATGATAAACTAAAAATCACGTGTTACTCACGTGAATATAGCGACCGCGCACGCTGTTCATGTTCATGAGGAAGAGCCCCTCTGTGGATCGAAACTAGTAGAGCTTTTCTCAGTATATTCACGTGAGTAAACCGCGATTTTTAGTTAATTTAGTATGTCTCACGATAGTTATTATAAAAACTGTTGTTATAACGGTTAAAAGTGCCTTCCTGGTCTAATTGAAATAGATTATTTTGACTTTAACTTTGAATCGAATAATAATAATTCACTGTCCTCCCCCCAGTTCAGTCACCCGCTCCCCGAGTCCGACGAGGACGAGGACTACATCGACACTGGAGCCGCCATACTTAACTTCTACTGCACTCTAGTGGACTTGCTGGGGCGGTGCGCGCCTGATGCAGGGGTTATTGCACTGGTAAGTGTGTTTTGAACGTTATTGTATATGTTTATACGGTTCATTGTTGATTGTTGTTAGTAAAGAAATGTTTTCGAGTATTTAGTCGCGTATAAAAATAATTGTGTAGAGTTTTTATTAACTTTTCATAACACAACATCACGCCTTTTATCCCCGAAGGGGTAGGCAGAGGTGCACATTATACCACTGTATAAAGTAACACCTACTTTTCACTGTTTATGTTATGAGTCCCTTGTAATAGGGGGTGAGCCTATTGCCATATACCGGGCACAATTCCAGACTCCGTGCTACTACTGAGAATATTAAAAAACCCAGTAATACTTTGCCCGACCCGGGAATCGAACCCGAGACCCCTTGCCCGGCAGTCTCTCTTACGACCACTCGGCCAACGAGGCAGTTATTAAGTTTTCATTATGTTTTTATTAAATTGAAAATAATGAAGTTTCTATTAGTTTAACTGACGAATAATTTGACATATTTTTCATAGAATATTCGTCGAAATATGTGTATTGTGTCTTGATCAGCTATAGTAACACTTTTTTTGCTGTTCTAATATTTGACTTGGGATCACGCTTGTTAATGGTCCAACATATGTTTCTATTACTATTATCTTATTTATTGGGATAAACCGGCAAACGAGCAGTCGGATCACCTGATGGTAAGTAATCGGCGTCGCCCATGGACACTGGAACGCCAGAGGCGTTACTAGTGCGTTACCGGCCTTTTGGGAATTGAGAATTTAAGGATTGTGGGGGATTCGTGGATTAATGTCGGAATACTCAAACGCTACTCAATTTTAAGTCGTGTTTAAGTATAGTTCTGTCTCCACAAATTCTTTGTAAAATGACAGAGATGGCACGATATTTAAGCACGACTTAAAATTGAGTAACGTTTCAGTATTCCGCCATAGGCCTCCTGAACTAATTATTTACATATTTTTTTATATGACGTCATCTCAAAAGTTTATGCTTTATTTAATTCCTTCTTAGGGCAAGAACGAGTCCCTCCGAGCCCGCGCCATCCTCCGTTCCCTGGTACCCCTGGAGGACCTGCAGGGAGTGCTCAGTCTGAGGTTCACGCTCAACAACCCCGCTGCGGGAGAGGAGAGACCTAAATCTGGTAAATATAATAAATCATTTACTTACAGAACTACTATACAAGGTGTTGTTTTAAAGCCGCGTCATTTTCTAGGAGGTAACTCGGCTATCAATTCTGAGTCCGAATCAATAAAAAAAATTGTAGGTAAATATTTTTATATTTTCTGAAATTACGGAAATCCGTAAGTGCGAAGTACACGCCGCCGTCTTGTAACTAGCTTTATAACGCGGCTTAACACACACAAACTCAAACACGTAATTGATAATATTCCGAATTCCATAAAACTCCAATAAGAAACATTGCTGTTGCTTATTCTGAAATACTGTCGAACTTAAACGATTTATTATTTATTTATTTATTTATTGAATGGTGAATCAACAGCTACATTACATACATTTACCAGAAGAATAGTAACATTGAGCCACTTACAGATTCACACGAATACTGACTTAACTCGTCGAGTACCGGTTTTATAGACACAATTAAAGAACAATAGGTCGCGGTCACCGGTGACCGCTTGGTGTTTGACAGTTTAATAGGTAACAGCTAAGACAAAATAAAAATTATAAATACACCAAAAACAGGCACACAGCAAGAAAATTATTTAAATATAGAAACAGCCGTATTTAGTATTTAGAATTAGCCGTATTTTTAACTATTGGCCCGAAATTTTCTCTTACATTGAACCTTTATGACTTCTTTGACATGCCGCCGAGAAATGACACGGCTTCAGAATTACACCTTGTATACAGGTATATTAATTTTTTATAGTGCTGTATTAACAGTAAAAGACTGATGACTGTTGATGAAGTGAAAGAGCTATGTAAGAGTAATCGTAGCAATTGGTGTTCTGCGTATGAAGGGTCCATGGAAGACAGGTGTGAGGTTATATATGTATGTATGCATTCAGGATGTTAATCCTAAATGATGTGAATACAGTGTTAAATCTACAAGATTTGGCTAACAATGACTATTCTCGAAAGATAATTTCTGACTCCTCCATGACCCCTTCCCCTTCAATCATCAAGAGGCGAATCGAATTAATATTTTCCCATAGAATTATTTTCAAAAATTATTCTGTTTTGTTTAACATGTAATGAGCAAATGAGATGATTAATTTCAATTTGGCACATTTGGTAGTTATAAAACCATTTTTTAAGTTTGTTACTATAATCACAAATTTCAAGACATCATTTTATTGTTCTGATCCTATGACCTTTTTTCACCGAGTCGTCTATAATAGACCTGCTTCAGAGGCAGAGCCCCTAAGGTGTAATACCTATTACGGCACATCCTAGGAAGACCTTCCTTAACCACTTGAATGCCCGTATATAAGACACAATAGAAACTACCTTGTGTCTGGCATAGATCCACGTTTAGACACACAATGGGTTAAGCCTCGTTGTGCACGACTGCCCATGACGACTGTGACCTAGGTAACACTTGTCAGTAACAATCCTTGTCTCGTCATCAGACATGCCGTCAGGGCTGATCCCCGGCCACAAGCAGAGCGTGGGTCTGTTCCTGGAGCGAGTGTACGGCATCGAGACCCAGGAGCTGTTCTACAAGTTGTTGGAGGAAGCGTTCCTGCCTGACCTCAGGGCTGCTACCATGCTGGATAGGGTAAGTGGTCTTTTACTTAGTCTTTTAACAATCACATAATTTAATCCTTATAGTTTACTTATACCCGTATCACAATATTATTTACCAGCTTTGCCAGCGACTTCATCCACGTGGGTGATAGCGTGATAATAGCCTATATGTTGACCTGACTTGTTAGTAATATTCATGCAAAATTTGAAGTAAATCCATGTAGTACTTTTTGAGTTTACATACATACAGACAAACAGACAAATAGACGAAATTTCTGTAAATCATATTTTTGACTTCGAAATCGATTGTAGATCACGCCCCTTTTCAAAAAATACTCTTACGATTTTATTATTTGTATAGATTTATTTATTATAACGAATAACGACATAGCTTTTAAGTCATATATAATATATAGCCGTATAATTTCTGTATTCTTTACCCTTTTTTTATCAATTATATTAAGTGTGTAATGTCACAATTTACTTAAATTTAGACTTTAGCAGTTTTACGCATAAAGGAGGTATTTTTTTTGTAAGAATTAATATTTTTAAACACAGTTCGTTTATTTGTTTGTTAGTTGATTGAATACTAATATTTTCCATAGGTATGTACAATATAATTTCTTTGAATGTGATTCATAATTTGATTTTTTATTTGATTGATTGAATTGAATTTGACTTGAATTTGAATTTTACATCAATAATGAAGAGCAGTAGCTTTTTATAGTTGTCAATACCCAGTGTTTAATGTCAACCAAATATTTTGAAAGTTAAATTTATTAAGTACATAAAATCTTTTCTAAAAGAGAAAAAGAAACTAGCTTAGCGTTAGCGGAAACCTTATTAAGAGATCGACTGCATGGTTGGCGCGGTGGCTAGGCAACCGGCTGCCGCGCAACGTGTCGCGGGTTCGATTCCAGCACGGAACAACTCTTTGTGTGATCCACAGATGGTTGTTTCAGGTCTGGGTGGCATGTGTATGTGAAATTATATGAAAAAGAAACTAGCGTTGCTAAAACAAATTATTATATGTATATAAATTATAAAAATCTATTATATTTTCCATATAAATCATGAAATACTTTTTACTTCCCCAGAACGACGGCTGCGAGTCCGACATGGCCCTCTCAATGAACCGCTACATCGGCAACTCCATCCTGCCTCTACTGATCAAACACGCCTACTTCTACAACGAGGCCGAGAACTACGCCAGTCTCTTGGACGCCACGCTACATACTGTTTATAGGTAACCCAATATAGTCAGTAAAATATAATACATTCAGTCACCACCCCTTTTAAATGGGACAAGCCCGCCACAACCTCCCAAAACCGATACATATGTTATGTTATAATCACCATCCCTACTCTTTCCGCGGGTATTATAGTTCTGTGAAGAAGTATTTTTTAACCAACGCACAGATGGATCACCTGATGGTAAGCAATCAGCACCGCCCATAGACACTCACAATATTAAAAGAGTTACAATAGAGCACTTTCCTAAATTTTAATTTTAATTTCGGTCTGGTAGATTAAAAAGTAAAAGTTATTTCTTTGTGTTACAGTTTTTCCCTATATTATTATAAATATTAAAATGTCATATAAAATAATGTCCAAATACTGAAACGCTACTCAATTCTGCTCAATTTTAAATCGCGCTTAGGGATCGTACACAAAACTGCGATGCGATGCGAATTAGTAACGCAAAAAAATACGATTCGAATTGCTGCGATACGATTTCGCGCGACAAGACGTCTCCCAGGGTGACCATTCCTTCGACGACCGTCAACCGTACTAAACGTATTTTAAATTGAAAACTAGGTCGTGACATGGATCGTAAAAAGAAGTGTGCACTTCTGTTATTGCTTAGGACAAACAGAATAAAGAAACAAAGAATATTCTGGGAAGATAAGATTTTGATGTGCGAAGCGAATCAATTCGCTAGTTTTTGCGATGCGACGTGCCATCGCAGTTTTGTGTACGAGCCCTTAAGTGTAGGTCCCTCACTACAAAATCTTTGTAAAATGACAGAGATGGCACGGTATTAAGTACAACATAAATGGAATAGCCTTTCAGTATGCAGGCGTAATTCGTTATTTAGTCCAAAACGAAGATTTCTTTACAAAAACATAAAAACTTTTTTTTTCCTCATCCAACCCGACCATCCCATCCCAGCTCATAACCCATCTACGCTCAGATATAAAGCTGAACTTCATACAACATAAAAAAAACCTAAGCCATATAATTTTTAACCTTATCCTCTTTGACATAGAATTTAATTTTCGTCACCAGGTTATCAAAGAACCGCATGTTAACCAAGGGCCAACGTGAGGCGGTGTCAGACTTCCTGGTCGCCCTAACATCGGCCATGCAGCCTTCTATGTTGTTGAAACTGTTGAGGAAACTGACAGTGGATGTGTCCAAACTGTCTGAGTACACGACTGTCGCTCTTAGGGTGAGTTGTTTAAAGACTATATTTGGATAGTAAGTTTTTTGTAAAGGTTATAGAATTAGATCTAAATGTCATTTAATTTTTTTTATTAGGTACATATGTTATTAGATTATTATACAAGAATACAGAATTGTTCTAGACAATTAAAAAAATACATAAAATTGTATTTGATCTAATAATCGAACTCGAGCCCAATTAATCAGTATTAATCAATCAGTAATTACAATTGCTACCATACGTCTTATTAGGTTGTCTTATAATGTAATACAATAATAATAAGAAGTAAAATCAACTAGACACCTACACCTCACCATTCAAACACGCTCAACTAATTTCAACCTAAACCGGGGCTCATAACTACCAAAAAATCAACTCTTTCTCTTTCAGCTTTTAACCCTACACTACGAGCGTTGTGCCAAGTACTACGGTAGTACAGGAGCCGGCCAGGGTGTGTACGGAGCATCATCAGACGAGGAGAAGAGGCTCACTATGATGCTGTTCTCAAACATCTTCGATTCCCTCAGCAAGATGGACTATGAGCCTGAACTCTTTGGGAAGGCGTTGCCTTGTTTGATTGCTATTGGTGTGTATATTTTTGTTGTAATTTTGATTAATGTTCATAATATATTACTGTGTCGAGCGACAGTCGATAAACGTTTAAATAATTTTCTGAAATAGTTATTTTTTGGGATAAGCCGGTAAACGAGCTGACGGATCACCTGATGGTAAGCAATCGGCGTCGCTCATGGACACCTAGAAAACCAGAGGCGTTATTTTTGAGTCTTTTGGGGATTAGGAATTTAAGAATTGTTCCATAAATAAGTACATAAAAAATACTTATACATATTCTAAAATTCTGTCTCTATCAACAAAATGTATATTCCCAAAATATTGTGTGTCCTACAAAAAGTATTATTTTATTTCAGGATGCGCTTTACCACCCGATTATTCGCTTTCCAAGAACTATGACGATGAATTCTACGGCAAAGAGCAAGTGGCTGGTAAGTATAAGTTAGCTAATCAGAAACTATATTAAATGATCAAAACTATATTTTTAAGTCTTCTTATTAAACTTACTTCTGAGATTTTACAAGCGTTTTTAGATTGTTGTACATTATTATCTAGACTTAAACACTTAAAGCGACAATAAGGTAGTATCCTAAATTTAATTTTAAAGTCCGTCTGATACATTATTTTAAAACATCATTTTTTACAAAATTAAATACTTTCAACGATATATTAATTTGAAATATCGTGTGACGTCACGATTTACTACATTTTATAGGTTATCGTGACGTAAAGACCTCTCACTTTTAAGCTTAACTCCGTTTTATCGTATATTTAAGTATTGTTTTATTATACGACAACAAAATAAAAAAGATTGTGTCTAATATTTTTTCATTACCTAACTGACGGACTAATTACATTTTAAATTTTCATACACTGTCTACTACCCTATTATTGGCTGCAATTTAACCATAACCGAATTAACCACACATTCAAAGTCAAAACAGTTATTTCAATTAAACCACAAACAGGTGCTTTTGAAATGTAAAAATGTAATTATCAATCAGTATAACCAGCAGTAAAGGTCATCCCAAGATCCCTTTTAAAAAGAAAAACTTTAACACCAAATTCAAATTCCAGGTGACCTAGACAATCCTCAATACGATCCTCAGCCGATCAACACATCATCAGTAGCCCTCAACAACGACTTAAACACAATAGTCCAGAAGTTCTCTGAACATTACCACGATGCCTGGGCTTCTAGGAAGATCGAGAACGGATGGGTCTACGGAGAAGGATGGTCTGATAGCCAGAAGACGCATCCACGACTGAAACCGTATAATATGCTTAATGACTACGTGAGTAGAGTTGCATTTTGTTTGAGAGCTTTTAAAATAAGTTGTGCGAAATATTGTCACATTAATTGTACGATGTGTACTTTCTAAGATTATTTAGACACCACTGACAAACGGTGAAGGGAAACATCGTGAGGAAGCCTGGACTTCATGATTATAAGTTTGTAATCGCTAACCTGCATTGAGCATGCGTGGAGATTAATGCTCAAAACTTTTCCATGTAAGAAGAGGCCTTTGGTCAGCAGTGGCTACTTATAGACTGTTGATGATGATATCGCCATTTCAAAGCCGTTTTTGGAATCAAATTAAAACAAATATACAAGCGAAATACCAAAGAAATGAATGTTGAGAATTTTGAAATCTAAAAACTCTAATATTACTTTTTCCAATTTGAAGGTTGATAATTCAAAAATAATTTAACTGAAATCGCTCTCGTGAATTTTTCGAGAGAAGCTCTACTAGTTTCAAGTCAAACCGGGACTTATATTCATGAACTACATAGTATCGATTCAGAAATAATAATAATAACAAAGTCTTTTAGTTTATCTTCTCTTGCGGTAATATACAGGAAAAGGAGCGTTACAAGGAACCAGTTCGTGAATCTTTGAAAGCCCTTCTAGCCATCGGATGGTCAGTGGAACATTCAGAAGTGGACATACCAAGCACAAACCGCAGTTCCATGAGAAGGCAATCCAAGTCGGGAGGCGTAAGTTGTATATAGTAGTATGATTATAAGCTTTATTGGTTTGATATAAGGTTTAAATTCTATTGAAGTCATTATTTCGGGTAGCTAGATATATCTAACATAGTAAATGACACAGACAATATTCTTATGAAGCGACACACTAACAGACCTGATAGTAAGCAATAGGCAAGCTGTGCTAACAATTGGTACCCGCGACACCAGAGGAGTTATTATTTCGTGGTCAACTTTAGAGGGAGAAAGAGGTATGTCCTCCAGTAATCTCATCTGTATGACAATCTAAATATGTTGTAAGCGCCAAACTCAGGAACAACTGGACGAAATAGGTTATTTATTGAATTTTAAAATATTTTGTATATTATTATAAATATGAATAAATTGATATTGTTATTACGCATGCATCCCAAAGGACAATAAACCCAAGGAAACAACGGTATACCTACGCTTTAAATTGTATTATTAATAAGAAAAACATATTTATAAGCACCAAATTGTTTTTACGCACTTATTGATTGGCATGGTTAGCATTTTTCCATTTTTGTTAAATATTTTCTACTGTAAAGTCAAACCAATTCGAGGGTAAAGGGTTTTTGATTATTAAATTGGTTGACTTCTTGCTTCAAAGATTCGGAAAATAAAATACAATGGTCAAATGAAATTTTAATTATAAGTCAAAGTTAAAACCCAGATGCCTTCAAAACTCGAATGAATACGTGGCTAATGAGCAAGCGCCATCGGAGGCTGCAACGTCGCTTGCCATTAGGCAAGATAGCGGCCAAGCACCTACGGATTACCAATAAAAAAACTCAGATACATAATCTTATTAAAAAGGAAAAATAGAAATGGAAAAATGCATTTAATCACAACAGAAATTAAATAATTTTATTAAATTGCACAACCTTGCAAGAATCACTCATTTGTTCAATGAACGAAACTGAATGAACTAAACGAACTATTGAACGGTATACCTATAATTGTACGGTGCAGGTCAACCTATCCTTTTCAGTCAAATTTTTCTACTACATCTTCAACTTTATTACATTGTTATAAAGTCGAAAACCCAATGAATAAAATGTTGAAATAGGTGGCCACTGTACACTTGTAGTCTACTAGTTCAATGAACGAATGAGTGAATGAATGAATGACCTTGTACATTTCACGTTGCTTTTTTCACCCACCTAAATTGTATGTTATTTTCATATCCCCGCAACGCACAGCGCCCTCCCGATATTGTGGTGAGTTTTAGTACTAATTTTTATACAAAAATATGAAGTTATTTTAGTTTATTTGGTGTAGATTAGATTTAGTTTAGAAGATTGTCTTGGTATTTTAATTTAATATTTTTTAAGCCGAGCATGATATTATTGTATTATATAACTACTTAGCATATTCTGATATTATAACTTTATGTGTAGATATAAACATAATTATCTACAATTTTGGAACGAGCAAATGGCTTCACTAGAGGACTGACCGACAAACGATATTTTTTTAATATTTCAATATTTTGTTTTGACTTTCAAAAGTGACTTTAGTGTAAATACTAGTTTAGATAGTTAAAAAATAATACTCATTAAAACTAAAACTCATTAGTTATTTTATAATATTCAGATATTTCTTTCCTATAAATATATTATATTTTATTTTGTGTATTATTCTTCTCTCATATTATCTGACATAAAAACAATATTTCTAACTCTTGTCAGGTAAATTTTTCTATAAACACTACTTAGCTAGGTATAATTATGACTTCAAGACAGAACCGACTTCTAAAGCAAACTTAGTTATTTAATTATAAGTCTTCAAATACTTCTGTTTCTTGCTTACTTCACAGCTACTACTTTTCATTTTCCGCACCTATGCACTTACTAACATTAATACATTATATATCTATTGTATATAGAGATATATAAAACATATCTACTGCAAAATACTTCTTTGTAATTTCATGTATACGGTTTAGTATCCGGCATAAAACAGAGCAAAATTTACTCGTGGTGGGGACTAGTAGGAGTAATGCGCTGGGATATACATATATATATATACCTACTATGTATACTCTATTTTACTATACATAATATATTTTAATCGATTCTGGATTTTGCCTTGACAAATTATTGCCATGTTTCTTGCCAGAAACTAAAGTTGCTAAACAGTATACGTATCGTTGTAAATATGTATATTTATAGTTTAAAACATAATAATAATAAACCATACCTTCTCAACCGCATTCTCACATCATTCCACTCTGCAGACGGACTCAGCAACTCCCTTCAATTACAACCCGCACCCAGTAGACATGACTAACTTGACGCTATCAAGAGAGATGCAGAATATGGCAGAAAGACTGGCTGATAATGCCCACGATATCTGGGCTAAGAAGAAGAAAGAAGAACTTGTTACTAATGGAGGTAAGGAACCTAGATTCTTAACTTTTACCTATAAGCAATGATATTATAAATAATAAAAAGAGGTAGATATCGCACTGGCACGCAAAAATTGTTGCGAACGAATTCAGATAATTGTCGTAATTTTATAATAGCTATCTCTTTCTGTACCATACTTTCCGTATTATCTGTCGCACGTAGTTGAAAATGACATTTAAGTACATTTGTAATAAGAACGCAACAATTTTTGGACGCCGCTTAGTATGAACGTAGCGTATCTTCTTTATAATATCATTGCCTATAAGTAAGATTAAAAATTCGAAATATTAGACAATATTTGTGAAGTCAACATGGTCAACTCCTACATACTCAGCCCGGTAATGAGAGCTACGTTTTGTAAAGGTAAAAACGAAAATAGGTATCGTCAACACATTTAATCAAAACCAATCAGAATAGCTATTTGAGAGTTGATCATAATTTGTTTTAAATATTAAACGGGCTAACATTTGGCCGCTATCTCGCCTCGCTACGCCAGCTACGATGAGGCCTACGACGGAACACATCTGCCCATAACCAACTTTTATATATTATATAGGTATACTTTTTTTATATATACTTTTTCTCATATTTTTTCTTTTTTTATCCACAGGAGGCATCCACCCACAACTCGTACCCTACGATCTCTTAACAGACAAAGAGAAGAAGAAGGACAGAGAGAGATCACAAGAGTTCCTCAAATATTTACAATACCAAGGTTACAAACTACACAGGCCAAGCAAGGCACCACAGAGTGATACGGAACAGACCACTACGGGCGTAGCAATAGAACTCAGATTCGCTTACTCGTTACTGGAGAAGTTGATCCAGTACATAGATAGAGCTACCATCAATATGAAGCTCTTGAAACCTTCTACTACATTCAGTAGGAGAACTAGTTTTAAAACTAGTACGAGGGATATTAAGTTCTTTTCTAAGGTGAGTAAGGTTGATTTTTATTAGTTCATAAATTAACTTTTTCTCAAAATTATACATTTTAATCTATCTCCTGTTTTCATTGTAGTAAAAATCTCTGAATCAGTAATTTGTATAATAATCAAGTTAATCTTTAAATCTACAACTTAATTTTTAGACAGATTTTTTGAATGTTTTATTTTTTATTCTTGATCTTAACAATTATTAGATAATTTAATGTTTAAATGTAAAGTCTAGATTCTAAATTAGATATTCTTAGAAGAGAAGTCTTATATTTTGGTATTATTTATTTTGTAGTGCAAAATCTAACTCATACTAATCTAACCTAATCACTTTTACTAATAAAATGGATGTACAGGTATTTTACAACCTTTCAAGTTTGTATATAGATATTAATACTTTAAATAATAATGTGTATTAATTTCCAAGCAACACAAGTCGGAACTAAAGTACTTCAAGAAGGTACATACATGTTTTAGAACGTGACCACGCCCAGATTTCATGTGCATTTTATTTTGTATTCTTTTGCACTGACATAAAGGTTATTTTTGCTCAGCAAAAGTCTTGAAATGATATAGAAAATGCGCTGCATATTGGCTGCTTGCATATACCATTATATATTGAATTATGAATGTATTGTACATGTACATAATAATGTCGACTGCACGGTTGCAGACAACTCGCTGCCGTGCAACGTTTCGCGGGTTTGATTCCTGCACGCAACGGGTCTGATTGTATTGTGTATCATGTGTATGTGAAATTGTATGTTTGTAAATGCACACACGATATAGGAGAAAATCCTAGTGTGGAGTAGAATTTAAAAAAAGAAAGTAATTGAATGAATGAACAACTGAATGAAGGAATGTTTGAATGAAGGAATGATTGAACAACTAAATGATTGAATGACTGAATGATTGAATAAAGGATTGAGTGAATGAATAAAAATAGTGGAATTATTTTTTTCCGTCATTAGAAAAATAGTATAAAGCATGTTGACGTTGTCCTGTAGTCGATTAGTTTTTAATGAAAATTGTAAATTGTATAGAAGACAAAACTAGTTCTACCAAATTTTTTTTTCTCATACTGAAGCTAGGATTTATAAGACCCTGTAAAACTGCCCGAATCTCTGTATCCTACACAATCCTGAAATTCCCAATTTTCAAAAGGCCGGTAACGCACTTGTAAAGCCTCGGTGTTTCGGGTGTCCATGGGCGGCGCGGATTGCTTACCATCTATTTTGAAATCAAAAAGCGGATACACGGTAACATAATAAGCTCTATTGATCACCATTTAAGTATTTTATCTTCGATTACGGTTGAGGCTTAAAAAAAGAAAGCAGTGCATATCACCTTTAACAAATGCTATATAATTTCCACACTATCAGTTCTAACCATCTACTGAATAGATAAACGACAGCTTTCTTTTACAAACTAATTGATTGCACCTACGTAATAAGCAATTGGGTATTTGCCAACTAGTCAAATTCAATCCTTTTTTTGTTGAACTGTCAAAAACGACAGTTTTCTATGAATTTTGTACGAGATTGTGAATTGTGACGTCACGTTTTTTTAGCGTCAAATTGCATACTTATTTCTAAAAAAATTGCTGAAATAGTACTGATATTAAGTTAGTCATATAATCAATTAATGAAATTGTGATTGCATTTTAATAATTTATTGTATCGAACAGTTGAAATAATTTATTTTTTAATAAGGAAAGTACCCAATTAATAACTCACCAACAAAAACTGGACAAAGCTTTAACCACTCACAAACTCAAAAAACACTATAGAACACTTTATAACAAGGTTCATATTCCTACAGGTGGTGCTGCCTCTGATGGAGAAGTACTTCTCAACGCATAGGAACTACTTCATAGCAGTAGCTACTGCTACCAATAATGTGGGTGCTGCCAGTTTGAAGGAGAAAGAGATGGTTGCAGCTCTATTCTGTAAACTGGCCAGTTTACTTAGATCTAGGTTTGTACCTCTATATTTTCTTTTTATCTTATTTTTATATTGTGCCACCTACCCTGCCCTTAGTGTTTTTTGAAAATATTTTAATATATTTCCCCGTTTTTAAAAATAATAATGAATGGAGTTTCTTGCTCGTTCTTCTCCATTCGAATCTACATTTTGGAATGAGCACCTATAGCTTCACCTAGCTTCACTGACGAACTGACTGACAGACTATTATTTATTTTGTATTTGTTGACGTTTCAAAAGTATCAAATTATGGTTTAATTGAAATAAAAGCTTTGACTTTGACTTTATTTTCTTGTCAACTTACAAATACATTGTGACAGTGTAAAATCAATATATGACCTCACAAATCCTACACCATGCTTGTGAAGTTTACACGCGAATAAACATGCATAGAAAATCTTAATTTACTTAGGCAGTAGCCTCCGGCCAGGCGAGGTGATCGTGACTGGCTCAAACTTGATCACCCTTTTCCGATCTTCGGTAACTTTACTCTCTGTTACCTAAAACATAATTTCACGCACACAATTTAAATCAGGGTTTCCCAAACTATGGGTTGCGACCCATTGGGGGGCGAATTTTCAGTAGAATTTTTCTGTAGAATGACATATTAACTAACCATTTTGTATTTTACTTGCTAACGGTTTAATTTCCTTCAAGTCCTACGTTTGATACCTAACTTGATTTAGATAAGTCGTAGGACTACTTTGGGAACTACTGCCTTAGATTCCTGCACTCATATAAAGAATAATTATTATATGTTGGATTTGAACATGCAACACATTGTATGACAGTCGTTGCCCTCACATCACATAGATAATAATCAACAGCCTATAAGTGTTTACTGGTGAGCAAAGCTTAACGCAAGCAAAGCCCTAACCACGTACGGTGTCAAGAATCTGAAAAGTTGAGCAGTTACAAATTTGAAATCTATAAGATTTTATGCTCCTCAGACTCGCAGCGTTCGGTCCTGATGTCCGCATCACCGTCCGTTGTCTCCAAGTGCTGGTCAAGGGCATTGACGCCAAGTCTCTGGTGAAGAACTGCCCCGAGTTCATCAGGACGTCCATGTTGACCTTCTTCAATAATGTTGCTGATGATGTAGGGCATACCATCATGAATCTTCAGGATGTAAGTGGATTTTAGTGATTCTTTATCATCAGTATATGTAAGTTAGCGCACTTGATTGTTTGAAGGGTTAGATAGAAGTAAATTTAAAGAAATTGAATTAATATTTTATACCCAATTTTTTACCATACAAAATTACTTTGACTGTTCTCCACTCACCCTCTTATAGTCGTTATTTTCGATGTTTAGAGACAACTTTTATATGTACAAATTTTGGGAATTTTCAATACGATATACCAAGTGATTAATGGCACTTTACATGGCCCGGAACTTGAACCCGAGATCTCCTTCCCTATATTCTATTGGGATGGACTATCTCTCTAACCTCTTGTCTATTGAAAGTTGCGGGTATAATGTGTTTTATACCGGGAGCCGATGTTTCAACAGATAAAAGGCTAAATAACAAAAACATATACCACCCGAATAGAAATCTGTAATCTCCTCTTTATTAAAATCGGACAAACGGTCGGTAATACGTCTTTGAATTCTGCACCATACTACACTTGCTTATAAGCCGAAATACATTCCTCTCTCTTCCATTAATTCTTCAAAATATCTCTTTTTAGGGTAAATACGCACATCTCCGAGGTACACACTTGAAGACATCCACGTCACTTGGCTACATTAACGGAGTTCTACTACCAATACTGACGGCCAAGTTTGATCACTTGGCCAACTGCGAGTACGGAGCTGACCTACTATGTAAGTATCACCAATGTTTGTGGCCAACATTTGTAGCCAGCTAAAAGGTTATATAATCGAAATGATCGACCAATATCTGTAGAATATTTTAAAGGTAATCAAATTAAAGGAAATAGGGAACATAACTGATTGATTGACGGTATAACAAAAACGGTTCTAGTCGCATTATAAAATTCAACCTTGTTCGAAAGTAATTTAAGTTTTATTTTTAAGTGATAGCCAAGAAGTTTTAATTAAAACAGAATAATTGAAAAAACTTTAGTAATTGGGATGATAGCAGGGTACGTAAATTAAAAATATAATTAGTCCGTAAATTAGGTAATGAAAAAATATTAGACACGTATTATTTTATTTTGTCATCTAATAAAACAATACTTAGATAGATAAAACGAATCAAAGTTTAGGAGTGGGGGCTAAGACGTCATTTCTACGTATACAATGTACATAGAAGTGACGTCACGCGACATTTCAAATCTATACATCGTCGAAAGTATTCGTTTCTGTAAGAAAATAAAAAATACGTGTCTAATGATTTAATATAATCTACCAGACGGACATTAAAATAAAAATTAGGCATCTCAAAATAAGTGGTTGCCAAGAACTTTTTGTCCCAACGCAATGTCATATTTGGAGTAAAAGTTTATGAGCAAGGATACTCTTTTGAAACTAAAAGAGATATAAAATCAACAATTTCTAAATATTTTATTATCACACTACGTCTACACTATGCCTATATTCTATAAACTATTTAATTTTACAATTATTTCTTACGAACTTGGTAAGACCACTTTTAGCTTGGATCCTCTTGACTAATGTATGAAAATACTTCGTGTCTCATTAATTGCCGTACTCAGAAACATTTGATGACTACTTAAACTATTCCTTAGTAATGATTTTGTATCGAAAACAATGGAAAATATTTATGTTTTTTTTATATGTATATATGACGTGTAACTATGAAGACCTCGATGTTACGAATTGATCTGAGGCCTTACTACGGCTTTGTTTTACGTTTAAAGTATAGTAAAATTCTCCATTGCTAAGACTGGGTTAAGACCATTTTTATGGGATAAGCCGGTAAACGAACAGACGGATCACCTAATGGTAAATAATCGGCGTCGCCCATGGACACCTGGAACCCCATATACGTTACAAGTGCATTACCGGCCTTTTGGGGATTAGGAATTTAAGATTGTTGGGGATTCAGAGATTGGGGAGATTGGGGAAGGGGGTAATTGGGCATCCGGTAACCTCACTCACACGATGAAACACAACGTAAGCGTTGCTTCACGTGGGTTTTCTGTGAGGCCGTGGTATCACTTCGGTTGAGCCGGCCCATTCATGCAAAAGCATGGCTCTCCCACACTAAATGACTGAGTACGGCAGTGAGATATTTAATCCTCCAATTTGCTGGCTAATCATCATCCGATTCACTTGAATCGTCAGACCCTGAATCATCACTATCACCATCACTATCACTGCCCTTCTGTTTCTTCGAAGTACTAGAATAAGCCCTCTTACAGTGAGCCTTACAATTTCTCCTAAAACTCTTCTTTAACCTCTTTTCACACTCGAACTTGACACATGTGGCATTATGGGCGTAGTTACAAGCTGTGGTGCATTTGCCCCGGGAGAGCCTCTGGCAGGCTTTCTCGTAGCGATCTCGTAATATGTTTAGTTCGATGTCATTTCCCATGGAATTATTTGCAATTATCGTGCCCTTGTTTGAGGCTAGGTTTCGTCTTAGTGCTGGCTGTGGAAGAAAATATTTAGGGAATGTTAATCACTTCGGGGTAGGCTACATAAGTGAAGCCAACTATAGGAGTACAATTTTTGACATAACAGGACACAGCGCTTTCTAATACATGGTTCTTTTTAAACTACGATACCTAAACCGATGGGGCCCAATCAATCAATCAATCATTTATTTATTTAACTCGTCGAGTACCGGTTTTATAGACACAATTAAAGAACAATAGGTCGCGGTCACCGGTGACCGCTTGGTGTTTGACAGATTAAGACATCAATGGTCCACTGTATTAGTAACAAAATCAAAAATACGAAACATCTTTACAAAAATATGTTAGTAAGCATATTTAAACAGACAAAACAATACAGAAAACAAATACAAATTAAATACACACACGGAAAACAGACACATGCAGTATGTTGGTACTAAAACAGACATACTAAAGCAATCTAGGCACCCTTTATTACATAAAATAAATAAGAGTCTTACCAGTCCAGTAACAGTCTGTGGTTGACAGGCTACTGATAGGTAACCTTCTCTTGTTATATCCACATGAGGACCGTCGGCTGAAAACAAATTGTCCTATTTATGAGGCGCAGTTTTAAAATTATATTTTCAATTTCAAAGTCAGTATGAAAACACCACAAATAAGAAAACTACTTAAACTAGATTAGTCGACACACATACACTTAATTGCTCGATTTAGGGATTGTAAGCCCCTGTACGCACTAGCAGTTAACTGTTAGGGGCTTAGGGCTGTTCATAATCATATCGCCTGACGCGGTGGCTGTAGCATTTATATCCCGGTTGCATATCAAATTGGAAAATCGTCCAACTGCGGAAGGCGTTTAGCAGCGCGGTTGGCCGCTAGCGCGTTAGGGGACTAACGTCCAAATACTGAAAGACTACTCAATATTAAATTGTACTACAATATCGTGCCATTTCTAAACTGTACTTAAGCGTGACTTAAAATTGAGTAGCGTTTGAGTATTTGAACATAAGTATTTCATAATTGTTATATTCTCTAGTTTCCCCAAAATCATAAACAAAAATGTACTAAATAGGATTGCATCTCAAAATTTAATAGCATTACTAAAGACCTGAGTTCAATTATGGACGTTATTGCAAAAAAGATAAAAGTTATTCTTACAGTTTATTTTTCGCAAGCTAACGTCTGGAGTGCCTTCAAATACTTTTTCGCAAGCAGTTTTGTAGCGTTTTTTGAAACACGACTTTACTTCACTCCTACATTTGAACGTTCTACAGGAACCTTTCAGAGTATTTTTGCATGCCTTTAACAAAGAAAGAAATGCATTTAAAACAATTATATTTGTTCTACGTCCATAACTGAACAAAGGCTTCGTTTGCGCAAATTAATATATTCGCCATAGTAAAAGGAGTGTTATTAATGTATAAATTGTAGAAAAGTTGCATAAATACAAATTGAACTCAAGGCGAATCGAATGTCCTGTCCCATATTCTCTTTTCGAAGAGTTAGATTTCTAGAATGAAATTTAACCTTTCGATTTGCTTCGATTACATAAAACATAAACCCCTGTCCCAAAAACGTAGTGTAATATAATCTCACGGCTCTTTCCAATTCGAAATGCGTGTTTTTTAGGATCATCTTCATTGGCAACAAATTCTTTAATACATCCAGTTCTAGAGCTTCTTTCAAACATTTCTTTTAGATCAGACTTGCATTCTAGTGTGCGGCAAGATGTAACATAAGCACTTTTGCATGCCTTGAAATAAATTTGTCAAATCGTTACAAAAATTCGATACAAATATGTCGTAATATGGGGATCAGCCACCGAGAGACGGGTCGTGTATACTACTAACAACTGGGTAAATATTTAGTTTTTATTTCGCCGTAGGAATAAATTTGCGGCATCCAATTCCGATGGATCGACATTGATATTGTGAAATTCGTACTTGTTCGGAGCAACGCAACCGAACAGCTCAGCATTTTACGTACAAACACTTTTATAAAAGGCATCGAATTTTACGTTCAATAGTAGTACGCAATCGCCGGTCTACTCGTACAAATCAAATCAAATCATCTTTTAGTATTAATCAGTTAAACCATCATTTGTAGAATTTAATATATTCTTAAATCAAACATAACTTAGTGTATTTTTTATCTCACCATTGATAATCAATAACTTACAAACTCTATAAAAAGGGACTCGCTTCGTACGTAGTGACGCACCTTTTTACATGGTCCTTCGAGCCGGATCTCGGGTCGCGAAGTACAATTCGGAAGTACTGTTCGAAAGTGTTTTGTGAATCCGGGATCTTACTACCAGTAATTAGATAGAGATAATAAGCAGTGCACATCATCAGAGAACGCTACATCGAGAGTGAAGCTGTATCGTAAGGAGAATATAAGGTCAGACCAAACCATTTTATTAATTCATTTAATTGTCTTTGCATTTTAACATGGAGGCACTCTCTATCAACCAAACCGAGATCTACGACGCTTTAGTTAAATTCTTGACTAACTTCAAGAAAGATGGAGAAGATAGGAAAACCATAGATTACTGTAAGAGGAAATTAGAGCTATTAGAAAATTACTGGAGAGACTATCAACGGAATCATAGAAAGTGCTGTGAAACCGCTGAACTTGGTCATGTGTATTTTATTAATAATTGTTTCGATAAGGCCGAAGAAGTATATTTGACTGCCAAAATGTTAATTACGAAAACCATGGAAAATCTCTTGTCTAAGCAACATGGAGTTTACCAGCTGCCTCCAGAGGCAAGTGCGTCAAACCAAACGCCGAGCGTATCCTATTCTAAAACTAACCAACCACAGACTAATGCGAAGAGCGTAGAACGTGTCAGCAAATTGAGTGACATGATCAAAAAGCAAACCATCAACTTTAGAGCCTTTGAGAGAACTGTAGCTACTTTTGAAGTGGAGAAGTTACAGAACAAATGGGAGTTTGAGGATGCTCTGAAATGTCTTCAAAGTCGTTGGACTGTCATTGATAGTCTGCACTGGGAGATAGAAGGCGAAGACGGCGATGAAAACATGTGGTATCAAAATGAATTTAGCACGCATGAAAAAATTTATATAGAAATGAAGAAAACCATCAATTCGAAAATGTGGTCTGAAACACATCGGGATAAATCTACTCCAAAAATAGATATTCCAATCTTCCAGGGTAACTACCACCAATGGACTTCTTTTAAAGATTTATTTACTGAAACCATACACAAAAACCCATCTTTATCGAATGCACAAAAAATGCAGTATTTAAAAAGTAAAATCACGGGAGAAGCCGAGCGTTTGATCTACCATCTTCAAATTAGCTCGGAAAATTATGAAGTATGTTGGGAGATACTTAATCATAGATACGGTAACCAGAGGCTTATATTTACATCCCATCTTAATTTATTATTGAACTTACCAAACATGTCAAACCAAACAATGGGAATGTTGAAAAAGTTGCATGATGTAACCAAAGAATGTCTGCACGCTATACAAAATCTAGGCGTAGATATCTCCACCTGGGACCCACTCTTGGTTCATTTGTTAACCCAAAAATTAGATACTGAGTCGTTCTCCGAATACATGGAGTCAGTAAAAAACCCCAGGGCTTTACCTATTTTGCAAGAATTCCTTGATTTCTTGGAAAATAAATTTACCGCATTAGAGGCATCGAGGCGTAAACAAGAATCGAATTATCAGAAAACCAATCCATCTCATCAAAACCATTCATACCAGAAAAAGACTCTTCAATTTAACAACCATCAGCAATCTTCAAACAACAATAAATTCTATAACGGGAAAAATATCACGAGGACTATGCATGTCTCAAAACCAATATATGCGCATTGTGTAATGCTGACCACGGATTATGGCTCTGTGCTCAATTTTTACAAATGTCGGATGAACGAAAATTAAAAACGGTTAATCAACTAAATTGTTGCGTAAATTGTCTATTTAATCACTTTAATAAACAATGTTTTTCGACGAAAAGATGTCGCAAATGCAACGCAAGCCATAACACTTTATTGCATGAAGGAATAATGATGAAATCGAAAACAAATTCGTCAGCAAAAATAAATCCTAAAGCTGAGACCACACCAACCAACTTCTCAACCACTCATGTGTCTCAGAATAATGTGACCGAAACCTTGTTGTCAACTGCAATCGTCAAGGTGACAGGAGCAGACGGCACTCAACATACCATGAGAGCTTTGATTGACCAAGGATCACAAATATCAATAATAAACGAAAATGCTGCTCAAATTTTGAAATTAAAAAGAAAGAAATGTAAAGGATCAATTTTTGGCATCGGGGAAAAAGAAAATAGTTGTAAAGGTGTAATGAACATTCGCATCCAATCTATCTACAGTGACTTTGCACTGGAAGGAGAGACACTTATTATGAAAAGTCTAATTAAAAGCTTACCAAATAAAACTTTTGTTCGACCATCGTGGCCTCACATCCAAACTATTAATTTAGCGGATCCCGATTTCTATATCAGCCGTGCAGTGGATTTACTTCTGGGAGCCGATGTATACTGCAAGATAATGCTAGGTGGCATTTTAAGAGGAGATGATGAGGATCAACCAATTGCCCAGCAAACACAATTGGGATGGCTGCTTTGCGGGTCAATGAAACCCCAATACAACTGCAATGTTGTTCTTCATAATACAGATGACTTGCGCAGATTTTGGGAAAATGAAGATATCCACCAACAATATGAAATGTCCACAGAAGACCAGGAGTGCTTGCAATTTTTCTTATCAACCACAGAAAGGCTTAAAGATGGCCGATTCCAAGTTCGGCTACCATTCAAATCAGATTCAAAGGAACTACTGGGATCCACGAAACCATTAGCCTTGGCACAGTTTCGTAATCTAGAGAAAAAATTGCAAAGAAACCAGGAAGTGAAAAAAGAATACGAACTATTTATGAATGAATATATTACATTAAGTCATATGAAACAATCAAACACAAACATGACACCTGAGTGCTATTTACCGCATCACAGTGTAATTCGAGCGGAGTCAACGACTACAAAGCTACGTGTCGTGTTTAATGCATCGGCAAGGTCGCTATCTGGATTAAGTCTTAATGATATCCTATATCGAGGCCCAAATTTACAACAAGATCTTCAGGAACTTATCCTCAAATGGAGACAGTATCAGTATGTTTTCACGGCGGATATTGAAAAAATGTACCGACAAATAATGGTGCATCCCGATGACCAACCATACCAAAAAATACTATGGAGAAACACCCAAAACCAACCTATTCAAACATATCAGCTTACTACCGTAACTTATGGTACGAAGCCAGCACCATTTCTAGCTATGATGTGTTTGAAGCAGTTAGCAACTGCCGAACAGAAAAATTATCCTACCGCAGCAAAGGCCTTAGAAGAAAGCTTCTACATGGACGATTACTGTGGAGGTCAACATTCAATAGAACAGGCAAACCAGCTAAAACTAGACCTTATAAAAATACTCCGCAAGGGGGGATTTAACTTAAGAAAATGGGCGTCGAACGAACCTCGGCTTCTATCAGATCTAGATAAAAGTTTATGTAACCAGCAAACGTATGAGTTCAAACAATCAGACTCCACCAAAACTTTAGGTCTCGCTTGGAACCCACAAAAAGATCAATTTATATTTGACTCCAAACTAGACCAGGAAGTAACAACAAAACTAACTAAAAGGTCTCTGTTATCGGACATTTCAAAACTGTTCGATCCATTAGGATGGCTCACCCCTTTGAGCATTAATATGAAGATATTATTTCAAACTGTGTGGTTATCCAACCTAAATTGGGATGATTCTTTACCAGAAGAAATAGAAACCAAGTGGTCTAAATTGAGAAGAGAACTAAGGGAAATCCATACCATAGAAGTAAATAGATGGCTTGGGATAAACCAAGATGAACAGGTACAACTACATGGTTTTTGCGATGCTTCGAATCAAGCGTATGCCGCTGTAATATACTGCCGAGTCAACAAAGGAGAAAGTTCTACCGTAGTTTTAGTCGCAGCTAAAGCTAAGGTAGTACCTATAAACAAAATCATATCGACACCCAGACTGGAGCTAATGGGGGCCCAACTATTATCGAAACTAATGCAAAAAGTAGAAAATAGTTTAGAAGATTATAACATATTAAGTTATTGCTGGACCGACTCAACAGCTGTTTTAGGGTGGATCCAAGGAGATCCTGCGAGATGGAAACCATTTGTAACCAATCGCGTCCAAGCTATTACCCAGCTAATACCATCAGAACATTGGAAATATGTTAACACTAGCGAGAATCCAGCGGACTGTGCAACTCGTGGATTGACCACTAAACAATTGAAAGAACATGAGCTGTGGTGGCACGGCCCGTCCTGGATTAAATCCTTTCAAAACCAAAATACCACTCAAAAAACTTACAAAACTGACTTGGAAATCAAGAAATCATCTATGACTCAATCAAACGCAGTGGTCGTAAAACAACAAACGACATCAATAATTTTAAACATTATTAACCATTTATTATCCAAGTTTAGTTGCTATGCAAAAATAATCCGTATTTTTGCGTGGATATTACGATTACCCACGGTAAACAAAATGCGTTCAACCTATCTCACGTTACAAGAGCTACGTCGTGCAAATACTATATTTATCAGGAATGTTCAACAAATAGAATTTGCTGAGGACATAACTTCCTTAGTAAACAAAGGAAAATTGCATTCGAAAAGTAAACTTATAAATTTAAACCC